TTATAAATGTATCTGTACTTTTATGTTATGATTACTTATTTTATCAGAAAGATCAGTAAGATTATCAGCTCGAGAAGAGTAAGAAACTATGTAGAAATAGTTTTGAATTCAAACGGAAAACTGAAGATGGTTTACTATTAAGAAAATGAATGGATTGGGATTTTAATGCCAGACCGACTGATCCACGCAAATTTTGAGATTCCTAATTTAAATCAGGGATATTTATGTTACAGCGGGAATGAAGCTATGTTTGTAATTGCGATCAATATTTAGTTATACATATATAAGCCTACTTACTTATATCATACTTATTTACTTTATCAGCAAACGCTGGATAAGAATAAGAAACTATTTCGATTTATGGAACTACTGTATTTCAAACGGGAAACTGCCGGATGAATTTGGATTGTAATCTTCAACAAGATCTGGTACTGTAATATTGGAATAAATTCAATAAAAATCACCAATAAAAATTCATTAAATATTGGTGATGATTTAATTTTAAATTGTATTGGATTGTAAAGTTAGATCTAGTAATATTTCTGTCATCATCGAAGTATTTTTTTTTTCTGAGATGGTTAAATTTATATTTAGTTTAGATAATTTTCTAGTTAATCGCATTGTTTACAAGCTGAAGGTGTAGACACCTTGGATGAGACAATAGACAAGTCCAAGGCCCAATAGCGTACTGAGCTGTCTGTACCGGGAAGTAACATCGCATTATATCGCTGATTTGATTAGCTCAATACTGAAGGATCAACAATCAAATAATCTGTCAACTCTTGTAGATTGATCGCTCCTTACCCGCCGTCTTCTCAGTATACTTCGATCTTCCTGCAATTCATGTCCTCTTTGATCCGTACACTTTCTCTCTGTATTGATCGCAGATACTTGGGAAAAACTTTCATATTTTATCGTGTTTCTTCGAACTGTAAACAGCCTATAAGTTATTGGCTTACATTCATACGTTCTGAGTAATTAGTTGTTGGAGGTGGTTGATATGGGTCTTTTATCATGGGGAAAGTATTCGAATCCGGCTTATCACCTGTGGCTATGGTGTAGGCCGGTGGTTCGAAACCCACCTGTACAGAAAATTGTCTCTTGGGCAAGGTAACTTTGTTCTGGAGATCTTGCTCTGCTTAAAGCCGTACGAAGTTTGACTGAGCTATGCATCTGGTCGGCATCAATACAGTAACCCGTATTCTTATCTGCGCTTTCTGCCGGTGGCTCACAAACTGCGTGAATTATCACTTAAAACTGGCTACAGTATGGGAATTGGATGTATACTTGTATCCATAGTCTATAGTATTACTCGTCGAGACAACATTACCAGCTGGTGTACCGATTTTGAACATACTAAAGCTTTGTCTATAGTGTTATAATTAATTGGCAGAGACAGGATGCAGATTAGGTCACGTTTGAAGTTCAATCTTGAACTCTTATCAGAAGCGCACGCCTTATCAGTTCCAACGTGTTAACTGCCACAGTAACAAGTGCTTATCAGTTAATAGATTTGTCGCCGTTTGTAAATACGGGTTGACGTGGACAGTTAATCCATCTAGACGTCTAGCCACAGAAAAGAAATGGGAGATTTTCCATTGCAGGTTATCGCAGTCTTTTCGCCGCACGCTTTGGAGTAGCATTTGGCGCATGTTCCAATAAGAACAATTCAGTGGCTATAGGCATTGAGTCGAGTTCGCACGCACATTGTTATTTAGTTTTTTTGCTCAATTCACAAATCAAGTTATTAGCTAGATTACCCTTTTAAATTGTTTTAATTATAAGTACAGTGAGATAAACTTATCTGGTCAAGATCTTCCAAGCTATTCCCATTCAAGATTGGTCAGGTCAGGATGGTTTAGGATACCTTTTAACCAATGTATTTTGAAAAGGAAGTATAATATTTTTTTTATTATGAAAGTGAAATACCTATCCTATTCTAACATGATCACATTTTCAACAACCTGACAAAAGGTAAAGAATAACTTGATTTTTGAACAAAACAAAGGAACAACGTGTGAATTTAGGCTCAATGTAAACAAAGACACGTTGGTTGTTCTTCTTATCTAGGCTACGCTATTGCAAATCCTACGGTGAGATGGACCACAAATGATCAAAGCCTCTATTTTTGTTTTATACGGTAAATGCTTTAGCGAGCCTAGCATTACAATGTACTGTTGTGACAAGTTTCTTACACTATATCGATAGTAACGAGGCAAATTGTGAATGGAGTAGTGCAGCGTGGCAGATATCCAAGATGCATACCGCACACGGTTGGAGGAAGGAAACCTAACAGCTGATCTGTTGGCATTTGGTGTCAGTCAGGAGTGCCAACTGCAGCCGCCAAGGTTCTCATCGGTCATCACTGCTGCCAAACTGAACTGACGTCTTGACACTTTCGCTGATTGAGCGGGCTTATGTAATTGACATCCTCAATAATGCACTTGTTCAACTTTGCTATGACTGGGACGGTGGCTTCGTCCTGTAATCCAGCTACTAGGATGTCACGACTTGTGGATATTTATTGGCATGCACTGTGGATGCGATACTCCTTGGTGTGGATTAACGTTCGCTCTAGTAAGTACTACGACTATCCGCAGTACCATCCTGATAATTGGACCAAGGCAAAAATGTGGTTCGGATTCCACTAAAAACTGTAGGTCCCTTAGTTGCCATTAGCTGTATGGGCTTACACAGCTGTGTCTAAGGAATATGTCGGCCTTAGTCACTAACAAGACTACAAGTACAAGATCGCACACACTAGATCGCGCGATGAGTATGAACTACACTAATCCACGGAGAAGTAATACTTCTCTGTGACTAATCTCCATTTATACTTGGCCTTAAATGCCTACTTTGTATTGTCGCCATTCCAATAAAAAGTATTAAAAACCATGAAGTATTAAGTATGTTGAACAGATTGAATTTTGTTTAATCAATGCCTAATTTCTTTCATGAAAGTGTATTTCGGACTTCAAAAGCTCGAACCATTTTATTACGTCAAAGATTCTTTCTGCGTGACAATCAGAATGAAAACTTAATTTCAAACGAGTTCGTTTACTCCGATTGACTGCTTGGTTGCGGTTGAATTTATTTTATCTCTCAATTTGTTTAGTTTAAATTGTTACTACACCATGTAGTTGTTATGCATTTATCCAAGCTAAAGTTGCCTATATTGAATATTATAAACACTGCGATTTTTATATTTTAAACGTCCCATGACTTATCCAATCCTATCATAATCCAAACCTAACTAATATGTCAGAAGAGATAAATTATAGATTTTTGTTCATTCTGAGTCATTTCTGCAATATTTCAGATTTTGTTATCTGGGGCTTTGAAAAGAACTATGACACTCTATAGTCAAAGCTATAAGCAAGTGCTGCACCTAGGCCTAGAGTGCTGTATTGTTTGTTCAGATAAGCGGCATTGGAGCCTACATGCGGCCAATGAAAGTGTTTATCCGTTATTTGAACAAACTTGTAGTTATAACGCAATTCTACTGTAAACTGTTTTGCCACACACACGAGGCGATGAGCTGAGGTTTGTGTATTGTGTGTGTTGTGTCGGTTACTGTGACCTTGAGGGTGGTCTGTGGTCGGATATTGCCCGGCGAGGATTCCCGACATTCCTCAGTGCAGTCACGTGATCACTAACTCTGTGCTGCGACGTAATGAGTTGTGGGTGTCGACCTAGGTGTCGACTGGGAAACTGACATAAGATCGACCGAAATCTGAACTCAACTTTATTCTAGCTGTGTATTATATATCGATGGCAGAAGCATATCTTAAACTTAAAACGTGATTTTTTACAATTAAAATCCCTCAAATGTCTCAAATAGCCTTAAAAAGCTAAATATATGTATAATTTTCCGGATCGTGTAACCCCCCCCCCCCTTGGGGTCTTCCAGTTATGCCTATGGTCGTATGTGATAAACATGCATAGTTTCCGATTGCCATAGTATCAACATATTTACAGTATCAAACCAGCCCCATTATTTCCCCATGTCATTTCAAATACATGACAAAATATTTCTAAAACAGTATTAAAAAATAAATAAACATACCGTTATGTCTAATAATGTGCTTATGGTCGCATTATTATTTACTTTACTAACATGGTACAGTATTTTCAAAATGTCATTTATTTATTTTAAATGCGCTATTTTAAATGGCATCCTAAAAAATTATTTTTGAAGTAAATTTTTAACTGTAAACCTAATTTTTTCTGTAAAATGTTGTTTCTTCTTGAAAATAATGGAAAATTATGGAAATATTCAGTTATTTTGCACATTCTGGTATGATCCTTGGACGTACATTATAAAATCCCTTAAACCAGTCCTTAAGTTATCGTTATTAATATTATATTATTATAGTTTTGGGCATTACAATATTTTATGAAACATGACAATTTGTACAGTATGGGGTTACTTGATCGTGCTCATTAGTCATTATGTACATTGTGTACAAAAGGTATACCTACGACAGCAAATCTTCAATTTAAATTTTTTTTATTACAAATTAAATATTACCACACTTTAAATATTTAAACAAATATAAGCAGATTGAGGCTGGTTAATAGTGATTCGCTGAAATATGAAACTATACAAATCCTGAAAACGTAAAATATTAAATGACTTTTTGACAGTTTCTAGGACTTGATAAATAAATTAATTTATTATTGAGAGTTCTTCTAGAATACTATAGTTGATAGGATTAAGCTAGTTAGCTGAGTGGTCAAAAGGTCGCTGATACTGAGAAAACTGTAGGCCTACTGGGTCTGTAACTTAATATTTTGAAACTACGCCCAGCTGTCCTTGATAAAATGGCCTGAAGTAGGCTAACAGCTGATTTCAATCTACATTTCTACTTCCATCTTCAATTCATAAGTGGGTTCAAATACGCCCCCATAAGCTGTGTCCTCTCAAAAAAATTATAAAATGATTTAAATAGAGATAATATTACTATACAGTATTTTTGAACATTCTTTTTTCTTTCCAGTTGGTATTTCGGGAAGATAAAGCGGATAGAAGCGGAGAAGAAGCTTCTGTTGCCTGAAAACGACCACGGAGCCTTCTTGATACGAGACTCTGAGAGCAGACGCAACGATTACTCCTTATCAGGTGTGCTTTTCAATGTACAATGAAAACTAGTGTTTGCTCAATGTTACCATTCTTCTGGTGGATACATTTTAATTGGCATATCTGAAACTGAATTAACTCTCATAGTTCAATTTGTTATTGGATTTTTAGAGTTCTTTATCTGGAATAGGATTTTTGTATTTTGAGTTTAAGTTCTATTGACCTCCCCTCTGACCTTAAGGTGCTGGGTGGTACAGTTTTTGAACCTAGGCTTAGGGTGAAGACATAGTGGAGCAGCGTGGCTAGATTGTAGCAGAGAACGTAGCTGAGAGTTTTTTTACCCCACGATGGTAGCAGAGCTGCATACGCACGTAGTGGAGCGGTGACGATAGCGAGTCAAAAGGCTGAAGTACAGTACTTTTGAATATAATTTAAAACTGATCTATCTGTCATGAGGGTAAAATGTACTGGTTTTGTAAATGAATGTTTACAGGATGAATTGTGTATTAAATATGTCACTTAATGGGAAAACAGCAGCTTTTGACAAGAATAATTACACAAAATCAATTCAGGCATTGTAATAAATTATTTCTTGTCCCAATCAGGATGGTGTTCACAAACTGACGAAATACTACATTTTATAGTCGGTTTGGCCACTGAGGCTCGATCCTCGAGGTAAAACCCTTGAGGTAAAGAAATCCGGGTAGAATTTCCGAGTGGAGAGGCGTGTTGGTGCAGGTAAAAACTATGCTCCCCGCTCCTACGTACATGTATGATCTAAAAACCGCTTAGCTACACCTTCCTCTACACTCTAGTCTCGCTACTCCACTATGTTTTCACCCTTAAGAGTCCTCGGAGCCTAGCTGATGCATGGGTTTTTTTAATCACAACCCAGATTACAAGTACAGAGAATCATGTATAGGGATACAACAAGCTCCTAAGTTGGCAGCCCTGCTTCCTTTACTTCATTAGCAATCAGCTGATATGCATTGTTTGATTGTTGTCTAGACAGATTAGTGTTATTGGTAATCTATGAATAAGACAATAACAATGTTTTTTCTAAAACACAACCCAAGATAAGAGTGATAAAAATCAAAACAAGAACGTAAAATTAAAATATAAGTTGCGTATTACTGTTCTTTACATTTTATTCAACCTGAGGATGATTAGGTAGTGGGATCTCACCTAAAAACGTAATTGCAAACCATTCTTGGCATAAACTTAATGTAATAACTTAATGTATTCTTAACAATACATACTCTTTGAGCTTTCGAAAACACAATGTTAAATCTTATCCATAATAAATCCTCAATAATTACTAAACCATAATTACAGAACGTAATGCATCAGTGCAAATCAGCTGATCAGTAATGAGGTAAAGGAAGCAGTATTGCCATTTATGAGCTTGTTTTGTACCTCAACAGTTACTTTCTGTACTTTTAATCTGAGTTGTGTTAAATAAAACACCTTATAAAAGTATTTTTATATTTTTACTTACCCAAGCAATCTAGGACCTGTAAATATAACCGTATAATAAAGCTGTTTGGTTCTAGTGAGGGATGGAGACACAGTTAAGCACTACAGGATCCGTCAGCTGGATGAAGGAGGTTTCTTCATCGCTCGGCGGACGACATTCCGTACGCTACAAGAGCTTGTGGAGCATTACAGCAAAGACGCAGACGGACTGTGTGTCAACCTGCGCAAGCCTTGCGTCCAGGTCAGTATTGTACATTGTTCAGTACAGCTTGTTTTTAACGTCCAGTACAATTAACCCACGTTCCCTTATAAATTTGAATTTTTTTCCAAAACTATGCAAAGAGTCCATGCCTTGGGTAATCATCAAAGCATCTAAGTTTACTGCTTAAAAATAACTTATTGAGTAACTTACTCTTTGACAATTCTTCTTTAAAAAATCCAAAATTGGTTTTTAGGGGTATCACAATGTATTCTGAAATGGTTTGTTGACAAGGTTTGATTTTCAAAGTTGTTAGTTGGTTTGTCAGTAAAGTAAAGCTAATGACAAGATTTTTAGATGTAGAAGCAAGGGTCAAAAGCACCTGATCTTGATGCTCAAAAGTTATATTTTCAAGTCTTCCTACCTTTCTAAATTCTTTTGAAATTCCATAATGGATTTTTAGAGTGTCGCTATGTATTTGGTGGTTTGTTGATTTTCCAAATTGTTGCTTGGTTTGTCAGTATTCAGTAACGCTAATGATGGGTTTTGTAGATGTAGAATGTTTTGTGTCCAAGAGGTTGACTGCATATCTGTTCTTGCTTTGCTGCTTGGAAACTTGTGGGTAAATGTAGAATAGCCCCCCTCCATTTGTGTGCAGCACATTTTTTTAGTACTTGTACAGTTTTAGTCTGAATAAACAGCTATTTTTATAGATTTTGTTGTTCTCTACATAGACTATTTTTTCCCCTATTTAATGATTAAGGCCATGTTTGCTTAAGGACTTTTTTGCATCTATATTATGGTTTGATTATCCTTGGTCTATTTGGTTGGCCAACCAAAATATTGGAGGAGTAAAAGCCTACAAAACCAAAAATATAATGTTAAATAGGGTAATGTGGACTGAAATACTGTACTTACAAGAGTTAAAAAACAATGTTCAGTTCAATGTGATGTTCCCCAATGTGCATGAGTTTCAAATTATCAGTTTAAAAAATACCCGAATAAACCGGTTCCTTAAATTGCAATGATTGCTGTATTAAAAAAAAAATTATAGTTTAAATCCCAAGATAAAACCTTGTAAAATGATCGTTTGTCTCATTTTAAAGCCGGGAAAGCTTTATTAGTTTTATGTGTGCTTAAAAGTATTCTGACTCATACAATTTGAATTAAATTTTTGCTCAATTGTTCTATTCTTTAAAAAAATTGATTCTCCTTTATCCTATAATATAGCACATTCCCAAATCTATAATCTACTTGTGGTAATTTTTGTTTTTGTAAATTGTCCAGCTCTCGATCGTTTTAAGTTCTCGACTAACCTAGTAGAAGCTAGATTGTTAAATATGTACATATATTTTTGGGTTAATATGATGTTTAAATTATCTCCCTTTGCTTATTGACTGTGGTCTTAATCCTAAATCCTAATGATATTGTTATGAAATCAAATTAATGGTTTTATGATACCTGTTCAGGGAAAAACACAATTTTTTTCAAATTCAAGGTTTCATCGTTTCAATTTGAAAAAATATTTTTCTTTTAGCATGATTATGCAGCTAACCAATCTACTTTTGTATCACCAAAAAACATCCAACCCAACTTTTTACTAGTAAAAATGTTGACAAAACATTAAAGAATCCAACATCTTGATAAGGATTCATATGAAGAGGGACTTCATTTGTGATAGTGTCAACAAAGTTCTCAATGCGTTTTAAAATAAAAGAGTTGTCTGTAAATTAAGGTCTCTGAGCTCTTTATGCGGCCGAGCAAGCTAGTTCAAATATGAGACCAACACAGTGTTCTTTGCTTCATACTTTACTTATCTACCTGGCTAAACCTGTATGCAACAACCGGTTTTATCATAGTAGCCAAAGATGATGTGAAGGAAAATTTATGCTCCCGCTAAGTATGAATCATGTCTAATTAGGGTCAACCCCTTTATAGTACTTTGTCAGTTGAGATGTATGTGTGCAGAGAAGTGTTTATAAGTATAATAAGGGCCTAAGTAGGGAGTTTGCAATATACTGTTCACAAAACAGTGATTACAGTTAAGGTTTGCTTGACAGTTAAGTCACTGTCTCAGTTGAAACTGTTGAACGATCACAGCCAGCTTACTGTACAAAACACCACAAAATACTTTGCAAATTTTACAACAACTCCTAATTAGTTCCACATTGTCTAGGTCAAAACCCTTCTCACCACTCATAACTGTCATTTGGAAACGGATAGACTGAGGAGTTGATGCCTTACACAAAAATATAATCTCCAAAATGTGTTTCATCCATGGTGAGAGTGTCCACATCTTATTATAATTCATTTTTATAGCCCCAGGATTGCGTAATATGACTAATAATGGTTAAAAACGTACCTTGTCAGACAATCCTTGACATGTTTTATAGTGTCGAAAATAAACTTGCTACATTTTTCGGTGGTTATTAAATTCCACCATCGTCAGGCACACAAAAGGATCCACTTCTTGAGGTGTCGTCAGAGTTTTTACATACATTTAACACGAACACAAAACACGAAACGATTAAATAAACGGTAACAGATAGTCTGACGACACCTCAAGAAGTGGATCCTTTTGTGTGCCTGACGATGGTGGAATTTAATAACCACCGAAACATGTAGCAAGTTTATTTTCGACACTATAAAACATGTCAAGGATTGTCTGACAAGGTACGTTTTTAACCATTATTAGCCACATCTTATATCTTTACACCACTTTGATGAGACTAATCGTCACATACGGATGGCAACCGGTTAGAATATTAGTGGATGAATTAAAGGACACAAATCTCAGATTAAACTAGTCTGACAAGCCGCGACAAGAGCCCATTGGAGATCTTATTTTACGTACAAGCCTCGTTCTATGTGTTGTGTTTTTGTTATTTAGTGTTTGATTGTGTGTGGTTTTACTTGTCTGTTGCTCTTACAGCCGCACACATGCATGCAACAATGGGTATGTTTGTCTTGAATTGATAAATAGTTGTTGCTTAATGTCATGTACCTGCATTATACATTGTGAGCTTCAGATAGATAACAGATTTTATTTCAAAAGTATCAGCCAATCTCCTAGAATTAGAAGAGTCTGTATTTAAAAAAATATGTAATAACCCCACCGTTGATTTTCCACAAGTAAAAATGTTTTCTTTGATACATTGATCTAGAGGAAAACAAAGTTTCCCCATTTATTATTATTATGTATTTTTACATTTTTAAAAGTTGATCTAAATCAACTGTAGAGCTATTATAATATTAGTACATCATTTGGAGGTAGGCCTATTGAAGTGGTTTAAAGTTTGGGACAATTTATAATTTTTTCCCTTATATGGAATAGGCAATCATCCATTTTATTTAAACAATTTTCTTGATGTTGTACTACATTCCAATACAAGCATGAAAATCTGAAGCTGAACATGCAATCTGCACTTTTATGTGTCGATAAACTTATTTCTAGAAGTAGAGCCACTGCCAACACACTTGCTTAGATCTTGTTGTAGAAGGTCTTCTAAGAAGTAACAGAGATATACTTCTGTGTAGTATTTTTTATCCTCCCTTTACATCATAGGACTCTAGGCAGAGTCTGAGACCGTTTTACACATTACTTCAGGCTAGGAGTAGAGCAATGCGGCTCTATATCATTCTGTCATTGGCGGGATTTGAACACAGGACATAACTCCTACAAAACCCCACTCTGTCACTATACCAGCTCGCTCCCCCTTTACTATGCAGTACTTATTTTATGTCTCACCTTCATCCCAGGACGCTAGGTTCTAGCCTGGAACTGTTTTACATATTACTTCAGGCTACTCTTTGAGGGTTGTGGCATTATCACTCACGGCCATTTATGGCGAAGGCGGGATTTGGCCGCACCAACAATTGCTCTCCATCTCTCTATCTTCTGTCTCTTCCACTGCTGCCCCCACTTCTCTGACATCCTTGGAGACACCATCCCACCATCTCTTCTTGCCATTATCACATACATAAAATCCATGGTGATTGGTAACATTTGAACCCGGGACCTCAGGCTCTGAAGCCCTGAGCTCTACCACTAGACCAGCTTGCTTCCCTCTACTATGCAGCTCTAGGATACACAGTAGTAATTCTCTTTTACTGTTCTGAAGATTGCTTTTATAAGCACCGGTGCCTATTTCGACACAACTGATTTGACATGTCTTACCGTGAAGTCATCAATAATGTTGATCTATTTTAAAACTGGAACTTAAGATGAATTTCAACAGAAGAACACTGAGACACATATTACACTGTTAAAGCTTTGTTAGGAGAACTGGAATAAAATTGCGACCCTGTGAACATGCTTGAGATAGGAAACGGGCCTTCAGTTTGCATTTTACGCGCTATGGGCCCCCTTATGAAGAGATATTTGTGCCCCTCTCCCTTTCTCGCAGAGAAATGTTCTACTCCTTGCGCCTCCAACAAATCTAAAACCTCTTGAACTCCTGGGTCTGAGCCCAACCCATTTACTAAAGAGGCCCTGATAGGAAAGTTAAAATAGTACAAAGTAAGTCAAGAGGAATCAAAGATTGTTTGCATGCACTATTTGTCTTCTAGTCAACCGATGTTGTTTGCATGTGTAAAGTTTCAGCTTTCGTGGCAGCAAGTTAGCCGTAAATTGAATATACAGAATGTGTAATTCGATTGCACCCGGTTTCTTTGCTTGGAATAGTTTGCACTGAAATTAAATGCTGTATGATATGCTCTAATTGATACAAAGTTCGAGCCAGACCTGGCTTAAGAAGATTATATTTTTAAGAATATTAGTGAAGGTATAAGATTGGTTTATGATTCTGCCACTAGTTTTGATTTATTTATGGTCTCACTCCTTGTCATGTTTATTTCTGGTCTGAATCTTCTTGTGACAGATCAGTGGTAAATTAAACAAAATAAAACCCAACACCAGTATTTAACATTGGTCTAGTAGTTTTAAAATGATTGTGTAGTTTATAGCTAGGATAGTTTTCATATGTAGGCTATTCTAGTGGTTTCAATATTTTTTTTAATGCTGTGGTTATATTAGTGCCGCTTCCTAGGCTAATCATAAATCTCATAACTTCTCAAACAAATAAAAGGTACAGTTAAAAAGTCCAAATAACGTGATATGAATAAAAGTTATGTTATGGAACTGTAAATTAATCTTCATAAAATCATCCGGTAGGCCTAATATAGTTTTCCCACAAATATTTTGGTAGTTCTGATTTCCATCTTGTTAAACCTAGTTTGGATTATGTAATATCCATAATGTTTCAAGTATGAGAGTAAAATCAACAAGTTTGTATTTAGGGAAATTATGTTTTTTAAAGGATACAGCCAGTCTTGAATCAAGAAGATTTTAATTAATTAATTAATTTTGTAAAGCTCATCATTTTAGCGTCTAGATCCCTAAACTAAATTAAAGGTTAAGATATAACTGAAGGACTATCAGGTGAGTTGGGTTCAAATAATTTTTGTCTTTAGTTTTTTAACATTTTTTAAATATTTGCTTGAACGTCTTGACCTAATTTCAAAAGCATAAACTATTACTGAACATCGTACCATGTTGTGAGCTAGTTTACAATGTGTTGATGGTCCACAGATAGAGAAGCCGGTCACCGGAGGTCTGTCTCACAGTACCAGGGACCAATGGGAGATCGACCGATCGTCGCTCAAGTTTGTCCGTAAGCTGGGCCACGGACAATTCGGAGAGGTGTGGGAAGGTCTGTGGAACAACACGACCCCTGTCGCCATCAAGACCCTCAAACCCGGTAGGTGTAACTACAGGTTTTGTTTTTGGGGAAAGTTCTTAATTTTTTTTTAAAGGGAATGAACATTAGATTCAAGATTGTACTAGTCAATGAAAAGTCACTGATTTGACTGAGGTATCACAGAAGTTATTAAATAGTAACTGATTTTACAGAGGGTCAAAAAAAGTTATTCAACAATAACTGATTTCATGTTAAAAAGGCTTTCTCAGTAACTTTTTTTGTCTGGGCAACAAGAATAGTTAGAAAGAAACTGATCATCTGATTTTTTAATTCTCCAAAAGTTAAAAGCAACGCACATTTAAATTGACAATATAACTGTAAAAAGCTGATATATAAAAAAATAGCAGTCTTTAATTTTCCTCCTCATTTTGTTTTTGTTGGATCAGAATCAGATGTAACATGTTGGAATCGTTTCTTTTCAGGTACGATGGATCCAAAAGACTTCCTTACAGAGGCACAAATAATGAAAAAACTTAGACACAACAAGTTAATTCAGCTCTACGCTGTGTGTACTGTCGAAGAACCTATATACATCATCACGGAACTGATGAAGAACGGAAGCCTTCTAGACTACCTCCAAGGTAAGTTAACGCTTGTTACATGAGAACGTTAACGATGTAACGAGTTATTTTTCCTAGGGGGGTAAATATTTGCTTTTTTGCCGCGCACCTATTGCTGGCATCAGCAAGCAGCGGCGGCGAACCTGGCTAGCGCCCTTTGACCCGGCTTATCAGTGCCGATAAGCCTGGGATATCCTAGTTTCTCAGGATAGCCGAGCAGGACATTCGAGTCGTGGATCCCAGTGAGTGAGGATAGCGTGTGTCTAGTGAGACGTCCAGTGGTGTACGTAGAGAGGAGTGCTGTGGTGACATCGGTGTCGTGTGAGGTCGGTGCTCAAGGAGTGAGTGTCGGCATTCAAGTTGGGTAGTGAAACAGTGACCCACTTGGGGTGAGTGGACGACGTTTTATTATATTTTGGTTTAAGAGAGTTAGAGAGTTAGAGTGGTAACCGTGCTGGTCAAAGCCTGACGGTAGTTAGGATTTATTTACAGGTGTTAGGAATAAAAAGTGTATTCCTGACGGTTCTGGGCAGGTGCCAGAGCGCAAATAATATAATTTAATTGACTGTAGTAGATATTATTTTGCGTTGTACCTAGAGTTAGTTATATTACTAATAACTCTGAGGCCCGACAAACCTAGGCTGCACGATTTAGCGTGCGTAGTTGGAAGCACGAGGCCAGTAGGCTAGTAGCTAATATTATTAGCCGATTAACAGAAGCCCAGCTAAGTAACATAAAGTTGGTAGTAGCAGTAGCAGTAGTAGGGTTGTTATTGTTTATTCATTTTATTATTTTAATTTAACCTGAACAGCTTGTTTGGTAGTCCAACACGTTATCTTGGTAGCTTGGATAGCGGAGTACCGGCTATCAGATAATATATTTATTTAGTGTTTGGATCGTATTTAGTATTTATTTATCTGCTACTAAGTAGCTCAATAATTTATAGTAGTGCAATTGACATCTAGTTTTGCTTGTTTAGCTTGGTATTTATTGAGACCAGCTGCTAGAGGTGTAGTCACTCTACCTATAGTGCACTTGTATTGTTATCTGGTATTATTATTGAGTGAACTGTTTGATTGTTAGCTTGGGCAATAGAGTTGTGTATTGGATTATAGTGGCCTAGTAGACCCCGCCTGGTGATAACACGCGTCGTGGTTTTTATTGGCAAGTCGTCGTGTAACTCACCGTGTTTTAGGCACTCTGGGCTTAACTATTGGATAGTTAGGACGAAGCCCGAGTTGCGTAGTCAGCAACGACCCCCTAGGAGTGTGGAGAATCGGCGTAGGCCTGGTAGTGATTATTGCACGTTTGTTTTGGTGACTTGTTTTTGACTTGTTCACAGTGCCCGTGTATGAGCCAGTCCTATACCGGTTAGACCCGGCTTTTGGCCTAGTGGTTTCCCTGACCTTATCGCAGACCCTGGAACTTTACCCAGCCATTGTAGGCTGAGCTATCCCCGGCAAACGGTAGCGACTGCTGCTGCATTTTTAATACTATATTTTCCCAGTGCAGAAAACATCGTCGCAACATTAATCAAAGAATTTACAATTTAAGAGAGTAAAGTTAAAGTGAATTGCTAAAAGTGGAACTTTGAGTACCGTTTTCTCCTCCAAAGAAGGTTTGAGGGAAAGGCTGGATTTGAACAACCAGGTTTGAAACGATAGCCATGAGGTGGGATTTTCTTAACACCAGCCAGACATTGCTACAGTAGTTTTTTTTCCCCCTAATCGCACCAAAACATCCCCTGTTTTGCCCTTGCTGTTTGGCACAAATGTTAGTCATGATTACATCAGCAGTTTTATGATCAAAGTTGAATTTTAAGAATACCTAGGGGTTATTATATCAACAGAAATTTTAGGTTCATATTAACAACTTAATGGCTCTCTAAAGAGTTCATAACCTTTCATAGTATTAACCTTCCAGAGTTTTTACATTTGAAGTCAATACATCGGTCTCTGTCATGTTACTAAGATCAGGAACAGACATAGTCATAGTTAGAAAAAGTTAACTGATTTGATGTTAGATGCTAAGGGGTTGCATCATGACAAGCGGGTCTCATCAAATCGTAGTAGGGGTCTTCCCGCGTGACAAATTAGGCTTGTCAAACTGCCTTGAAGGTTTATGAGAGGGTTTACTATAATATACTCAATGGGCAATAAATATTTCGATCTGTGTTGTAGGTAAGGGCAGAGGTCTGAAGCTGACCCAGCTCATAGACATGTCAGCTCAGATAGCTGCAGGAATGGCCTACTTGGAGTCCCAGAATTACATTCACAGAGATTTGGCCGCTAGGAATGTTCTTGTTGGAGACGGCAACATCGTCAAGATAGCCGACTTTGGTCTGGCCAGGCTTATTAAGGTGAGCTGTCGTGACTATTTAGCTTATCTTTGTGTTATAATCCTCCATAAAGCTCCCATAGTGGACAAGCGAGCTAGTTCAAACCTAACTACGACTGTGAGCTGGGGATGAGCATCGATAACTGATATTTTCAAAACATTGTTATTTTTCTATTGATTTATGTTTAACATCAATTGTAGGTTACCAATGTTTTTGTAGAACATTGATGTTTTAGACGAACCATCAAAATATTGATGTGTTTTTCTCTAAATGAGTTTTATAAGTTTTTATATTGAATGCAAAATTTAAATGATGGTCTGGGCAAAAAATTTTTGTATTCATTCCATTGGAAGGCTGATGAAATTTTGAATAAAAAAGTATCGTGAACTGGACTAGACTTAACATCTATTGTAAGTTACCGATGTTTTTGTCGAACATCGATTTTTTCAACCAACTATCAAAATATTGATGTGTTTTTCTGTTAACTAATTGTATTAGTTTTTAGTTTGAATTAAAAAATTGAATGATGGTCTGGACAAGTCATTTTTGTATTTATTCCGTTAAATGGCTGAAGAAATATTGAATCTAAAAATTTCGCTAACTGTACTAAACTTGAACTAAAGTAGAGTGAGTTTTACCTGGGTTTCTGTAGAATGAGGTTAAAAGTTTTAATACCCTTGTGTCCCTTTCCATGAAAAGCCATTCAATAATCTAATATGATTTGTATTACAGGAGGATGAGTATGAGGCGAGAGTGGGAGCCAGGTTCCCCATCAAGTGGACGGCTCCAGAAGCAGCCAACTACAGCCGCTTCTCTATCAAGTCCGACGTCTGGTCCTTCGGCATCCTGCTCACAGAACTGGTCACCTATGGCCGCATACCTTACCCTGGTACGTGTTCGATTAGCAGTAGTTGAAGACTTTACACAAAGAAATCTGGACGAATGCTTGGTAGTTGCGATTTACTCAATATTGGAACTATTTGGTGCCAGATTGGTGAAAGTGCCAGAAAAGTCATGGCGTTGAAGGGAATTTCTTTTTTTAGTTTTAGGTAAAATGGACTTGTTCTATGCTGCATTTTGGTTTTGACTTTGTTTTGGAAGGTGATGTTACTCCTGTTTTCAAGAGACCTAAATCTACATTTACCTAAGCACCCTATTCAACCTAACCTTAAGAATTGTTTTCGTTTTCCATATAGTTTACATTTTATAAATCTCAAAACCTAAAAAATATACAGAAGTACCCCCGACACAGCAAACCTGTAGAGTAAACAAAAATATAAATTTGGCTGATTGTATTTTAACTCAAATATTTTTGTGTGCAAGTCATATTTATACCCTAAATAATACTAGATTCAACAAGAGCTGTACTAAGGTATGCTGCTACAGGCGGAAAAGGCAAAAGTTATTTTTACCTAATGTTAATAGTGATGAAAGAAATGAATTTGTCAAATTAGATCAAAATATATCCACAAAAAGGCAAAGTACAATAGTTGTTTTCTTCATAAAAATAAATTAGGAATTTTAATTTTCAGGTTTTTTCTTAAATGTTTGTAACCTTTAATTGTACAAATTCTTCTATATACAAAATTGAAAACTTGTATTTTAAGCTGTATATGAACGCTGTAATGAAAATTGTGCGTTCCATGTTTTAAGGGTTAAAATTTGTAATTTTTTTTAAACTTTAAAACCCCATTACAATTTGATCCCCAACTAAACACAGCTATTCTTATCGCTCTGAAGCCTTCGAGCTAAAAAAACCACAACAAATTAGTGGACACCACTACTCCTTACGAACCAAACTGTCGAACGCCACATTATTTAATGTACATTGTTTGTCTACAGGTATGACCAATGCTGAAGTGTTGCATCAAGTAGAGCATGGCTACCGTATGCCCAGTCCTCCTGGGTGCCCAGGAACTTTGTATGACATCATGCTGGAATGCTGGCACAAGGACCCAATGAAGCGGCCTACCTTCGAAACACTACAGGTAAGAGATCCTACAAGATAATCCTATCTGACCTGTGTGAAAATGAAAACATATCTTTACTGAATATTGTTAAATTAGTTTGTGTTTCATCATTTGATTTTTTAAATGGAATTACAGTAATAATTGTTTACAACGGTTTTAGATAGTATAACATTTTACTTTTGGAGTTTATTTTGGTTAAATATGGGGACATCACATGTGAAAGCAACATAACAACTGATTTTGATAAATAAATCGTTAATTATTTTGAAAAAAAATAGAGAAACAATTTGATTGCCACCACTTCATCTTGTGCATCTGTTTGCAGTGGAAGCTGGAAGACTTCTTTACCATGGAGGGGTCCGAGTATAAAGAGGCGTCCGCCTACTGAGAACACGCCCCCCACCCAAACTGGCCGCGCGCTCGTCTGCCGCACCCCCCTCCACACTAGTCTGCATTACTTTCTCCCAGCGTCACGATTAAATGGAAGTATCCAATATTGTTTTAGCTTATACAGCCGATTATCTGAAAATCCGTCACGACCTTGGCTAAAGTGCTGAGAATGAATTTTGTAACTATATGTTGTACATTTTGACAAACCTATTGTTAATTTTTACAATTAATTTTGTTCATAGCTGTAACTTTTTCACGTTTTTTCGTTTACCAAGTTAGTTTAAATAAAATAATTGTATTTATTATGAAATAACAATTTCAAGAATAATTCTACTATTTCTCCATTTCTTGTTGAATGTTACCCATTATTTTCTGTATTCAAAATTTAAATTTTTTGTTCAATTAACTTTGAAGCTTTTACAGAACTAGCATTTCCGAATGTTGTTTTACCCTTGCTGAAGTATACTAATCGTGGTAGCCTTGCAAAATTACTTGAATTTCATTATTTTTAAGACAGTTACTAAATTGGGAGAAAGTAATGTGCTCCATTTCACGTTTCTCGTCGCTACAACTTTTCCATTTCTACAGTATTTCAATGTATACTAGACACTAAATATCTTGACCTATGGATAAAATAACCAGCTAAAACTTGTGGTAGAAGTCATAGCTCACAATATTTTTTGTCCAGTATAGCTTGTCTCTCTTCTGCAAACTGTTTCGTAACTTATCGCATCCCTCGGACTCAGTTGACTGACCTATGACCTTGTATTATTTGTGTTGTCGTATAATTTATTGTAATGCATTTGTCTTATAGTTTTAACTGAGATAGTGTTAGTACATGCTAATATACACTTGCTGTAAACAAATATATCCCTTGGTTGCATTTCTTCAGTCATTTATCTGCACCTCCACTAAAATTAAAAATGTTTTAGAAGTTAATTTGCAACATAGTATTTTAATATCTTCTATAATATTTAATACAATAGCGGTTTTCCGTGTAACATCCCTATTCTAGCTGTCCTACTTAACAGGTGTTCATAATTGAGGTGTCATTTTAAATGTTATGATCTAGCGCACCTGCGAATAGTATATAAAAACCTTATTTCCTTTAGGGCTTTGTCCCCTCATGATTTATTTATTCCTAGAGTCCATTTTCAAAGATCCAGTTATGTTGTCCAACTTTATTTATAGCGGTTTAAATGTGAATTTTAATTTAACAACTGTTCCCAACAGTTTTAATTATTTTTGGCCGAGTACCAATCAACGTCATAAACATTTTCAACTCGAACATGTTGAATGTGGTGTTGAGGTAACATTTGACCCAAAGGAATGCAAACAAAGTGGATATATTTCTCACTAACTGCTTGAATTTTTTACATTTATACTATTCTTTTCTATAAGTGTTCATGTCAACATAATATCATTGTGATAATGCTTGTTTAGAGCTTTTGTGATTTATATTTGTCATAGTTTTATACAATACTGTTTGTAAGTTAAAAACCTTTGCTTTCTTATATCGATACATTTATACATTATTTAGTGATAGCCATAAAATGGATTTGTTTTATACATTGTATAGACAATTTAGTTGAAACCTCTGTACTGTAGGACTAAAGTATTTTTAAAGTGGAACCAAGAAATATTTTTCTCACAGAGCACAAACCGTAGTTATAGAATTTATATATTTCTCAATGTTAAAAATGATTGAACAAATTGAACATGCCTTATGCAGATTTTACATTTACATAACATTGTTTGCTTTCGTATCAGTTATGATCTTGTGTGTGATTAAGGCTGGGAACTGAAAGTGTATGAGTAATGGCATGTGTTTTAAGGACGGGCTTGTTTAATGTTTGGGTCGGGTGGTTTGAGAAGAAAAGTGTAAATAAGAAGATTGTATTATTGTGTAAATGATTGTAAAAATCTCTGTCTAGATTAGATTAAATTTTCTTACTTTCAATTTTAATCCCACTGCTCAAAACCCTTGCTGGATGCTTCCTGGTTCAGTAGAATTTGCTCACTGAATGCTTTAACCAATACGAGTAATATAAAATGTAGACATTAAAATCACAACTTCAATTTTGTACTAGCTCATTTTTATTATTACAAGTATATGTGTGTGTACACAGTGTAAAATTGTTTGTGGTTTATTCTTGTGAGGCGTATCAATGTTGCGATTCAATCAAAAATATCGTGACACAACTTTTAATGTAAATAATTTATCTATTTTGTGTTTCATGCTTTCTTCTGTTTCAAAAATTTACGGTAAGGTTGCCAATGCCATATGGAGTGTTCTATTTGAATGAGTATACTACCTTTTATTCTTATTAACTAAGGTAAGACCTCTGAAAGAACAGTATTTAGCAAACAGAAGTATGAAACACTTATTGGAATTGTATTAAAGATTTTAAGACTTTACTAAACCATTTCTTTATAAGCATGAATGTACTGGTATGAAAATGTACATTTGAATCTATAATCTTAAATATTATATTTGTTCAATAAAGACATCATTATAAATATCACACCAAGTTTCAATGCATTTCCTATTCAATAATTGTGTAGCCAACAATAGCAGTTTGCTAGTTATTAACAAGGCTATTACCTCTGTAGATCCAAAATACTAACACATCGGCTATTGGGAGTAGCTTGACAAAAACTTTACATGCAATCGCTCATGTAAGTGTTATTTTATTATTGATACAACTGGACGTTCCATCCCCAAGTTAGAGTTTTTGCCAGTTTTTTAATCAAAATTGTGGTTGATGTGAGCCACTGACAGCATGCTGACGTAAATAACTGATTTCTGTCTAATTCCATCAGTTTGACTTGGTTGAAAAACCTACTTATTCGTCAGAATTTAGCGATTTACATTAGCTAAATTTGTCCAGTCTGTGTCCATTTTGATTTAAAAACTGGCAACAACTTAATTTCCTAATCCTAATTTTTAAATGCTAAAATTGTACCCTCTTTAGTAATGATTTGTGTTTTAAACATGGGGTGGAAATAGTTCTATCAATATTCAATGGTGTAGTTCAACAATAACCGCTGAAAACTGTATTTGACCTGTGCTGCGACCTGTGAGTCAAGATTGCAACTACATGAGGAGATGCTCTAGTTGGGTTCACCACATTGTTATAACAGTAGAATATCAATTGGCCTGGCAAGAACCAGCACCCTTAGTCTCATCAGGTCCTGTATATGACTCATTATTGTTAGGTCTGGGCATTGTCTGGGTACATGACTAATTAGGTTGCAATGGTTGGCTCGAAGGCTGTGGATTCTGAGTTCCATTGAAGGAGTTTTGTTACTCATCTGTACTTTGTGGGTCCACCATATTCTTGTACTATAGGGTAACTACATTAGACTCCATCTTATCCGGACTACACTCAGCAGAAGTGACATCTCATTAACCCGACAATTTTTTTATCAGCACATCGGTTAACCAGAGAGCACAATTACCTCACATAAAAATCATCCGGTTTAGATTAAATTTGGTATAAACGCATAAACCTGGATTTATTAGAATGAGTTCATGAACCAGCATGATCGGACAATAGAGGTTTTGGGGTAAATTGGTTTTTATCATTTTTATCCTAAATTTCATACCAATTAAAAACACAATGTATTACTTTCCCTGTAGCAGCAACCAAGGATGTTAATTGGACAGAAATCAAAGAATAATGGAATGTCTCTTATGGGTTCTATTCTTCGTTAATATTCATTTTAAAACTGACATAAAATTTAACAAGATATATGGGATGTCTATTAGGCCTACTCACCAAATTTAAGTGTTACTGTCCTTCTGAACATAATGATGGATATGATTGTACAATGGACGAATCATAAGAAAAAAGAGTATTCATAAACAATCACATTTTTATTTCGTATCATACAATTTCCATAAAAGTTTACACTTGTTTACATCCATCAAAAAATCCTTATGAATACAAAATAAAGCTTAACATAAGTGTCTTTGGTTAGTCAATACAAAGATTTCTTCTTTCAACATTGGTAATTCTTAACATTTGTATGTAAAGAAGTAATGTCGATTATGACTATTGACTAGGTAACACAAATTTTACTTCCAGTGGGCAAAACTTCAGTTTCATTATGTAAAGCTTTAGTTTACTTTTTAGCCGATTTTCCCAATATAGAAGAGGTTTCATATGTGGCATGGTTAAAACCTAGACCCAGCCTGATTTTATTTTATGTCCCCAGAGCTAAAAAAAATTTGTTCAAATTCTGATAAATTTATACATCTATCTATATGTGTTTCCGTGAACACGATGACTCAAGCAATCCTAGTTAGATTTAGGTAAAATTTGGCATGAATATGTAGAGATGACTTACAACTTTAATGAGTTCCCGAACCAGCAAGATGAGGTAGGTATTGAGAACAGAGTGTTATGCATGTAAGCCTAATACATTGTGTCAAATGTTAAAACACAAATAATTTGGTATAGGCTAATGAAGTGTTATTCCACACTTAATGGTTACAGAGAAATTCCAAATAACTGAACATTAAAATCCCATGTTTTCTTATGGGGAATAAGTAAACTGCTATAGTTTGCTTAGTTTTAGACATTTTTATGAAACCTGACAAATTTATTTATTTTGCACCTAATAAAGTCAAACCTCGGTAAAACAAATTCCTCGATAAGACAATTTTTTTTAATCCCCTTGAAACTTCATTAAGGTTAATGCTAAAAAACCTCTGATTACCTCTATTTAACAAATATTCTTAGCACAACCCTCTAAAAGACAAATGCGACCTCTTATAGACTAATTTCTCATCATCTTACCTCCATAGTATTAGTTTTCAAAACAAACAGAAGCTTGCCTCAACAAGTACCCCCACCACCCATCCCCTCTTCCTTTCTCAGTCATTGTTTGGCTTGTGCCTGTGCAGTGTCCAAAACCTCAATAAGATAAATAACCACGGTATTAAACCTCGATAAAACGAACCTCTTTATTAAGAATACGTTAATGATAAGGATTTTTCCCCTACCCCTTGAAATTTGTCTTATAGAGGTTCGACTGTAACTTCTTGATCAGCATCAGGAATATTTCTGACATATTTAAGGAAAAATATCTACAACTATTTTAGTACGTATTTCAAAGTTCTCTTCAGTGCCCAAAGCAATTACTAGACATATCAGGCAAAACAAAATATTGATATTCGATTCGTGTTTGGCAAAATTTGTGTTACCATAATCTCTGGTGGGAAATCAATAAACCTACCTAACCTAAAGATAACAAACTATCAGCTCAACAAAAAAGTTCAGCAGAAACAATATAGGTCTCAGCTTAATGTTGCAACAAAGGTAAATAACATAGGTAACAATAAACCTTAATGTAGATGTAAAAGCAACAAAAAAACTAGCTAAACCTTTTGTACATTCGCTTCTATTGGTAACTATAACAATTATTCATTGAATATAAAATGGCACTGCTTCCTTGTAAGATAATGTGGCGATGGAAAATGAACAAATTCTCTCCATGGATTGGATGATAGGAACGGCACTTATCATATATGTTTAGGTAATCCCTATAAATGAATAGCCTATTACCATTTAGCCTAATGGATTTACCATAAATTGAAACTGTATTATACTTTAAACATTATAATAGTGACTTATATAATCCAATTTATTCTGCTAAGTTAGCAAACTTATCTTCTCTCTAATGAATAAACAAAACAGTATAGTTAAATTGAACAGAGAAATGAACTTGCTTTTTAGAATGTATTTAAATCAGCTAAACAATTGATGGCTTGCAGTTAAATTTTAAATCCAATCATAGTTTAACTTTCACTTTTGTTAACCCGCAATAACAAATATTCTACGCTATATTATTAATGTTGGGGCTATGTTTAGTGTCCTAACTCAAAAATAAATTTGTAAATCACCTTAAATTGACTATATAAATAGTGTTCTATAGTCAATGCTTGTGCATCCAGTTCATTTACACATAATGGTAAATTGTCAGATGCATTTATTTACAAACTGTAATTTTACAGTTTTAATTTACAAAATAGGCTATTCATAAAATAATGGTAAATTGACTGCAGAAATTTTGATATCATCTCATTATTATAAAAAAATGTAAAAGTACGGTATCCACATTCTTTACAACTAACCTTCTAACTCTTATCGGTGAAAAAATAATTAATCATCTTAAGGTTACCTTTTATAACGGTGATCGCTGAGAAATAAACTAGCCTATAGCCTAAATCTCTCTCCACTACCTAATCGGTTCGATTTATATTTAATTTCAAACTTTAAGTGCTAAAGAGCAGCATCCACACGAATTTGAGCAGGTAATCAGAACACAATTGGACCATTCACATCTTTGGTCATAACTTGGGGTTGTATTCAGTCATCTGGAGTAAAAGCTGCACATCTTCCAGTTCCAACTCTTTGTACGTGTTAATGTACATATACCTTGAGAGATAGATGTAAATAGCTCGGAACCAACCATTTGAGACTGATGTTTGTGCATAGCTTCTCTAACAACACGACTACCACTAAAAGGGACAATATACAGTCTTTCATTGATGATGGGAAGAGCGCTCAGACCTGCGTCCAATATAAGGCTGTACTTACGCAGAATGTTGACGAATCTAGTACATAAACTTTGACACCAGAAGGGATGTCTTCGGATAAGCACATTCGGGCGAAGGCGTAGAAAACATGATGTGGTTAAGGTGTCCGCTGACTCCTTTGATGTCAAACGTGTAAACCTCTTCAATCGAGAAACTCTCAATGTGGTCTTGAAGTATTCTTGCAGTCTTCTTTACATTCCAGATTACGTCTGATCATCAGGCATTTTGAATTGTTCATAACCATAATGTTTGACTGGGGAATTCCTAATGTTCTGCAGCTATTGTAAAGTTCTTCTTTTCTCAGATGCCCTTTTTTATAGTGATTCCCGATACTAAGGCACAACAAGTACACTTCACTGTTCTTGATCAAATTCAAGATTGTAGGACCAAAAAACATGCACTCATCATCAGGATGAGCAATGACAAACAGCACTCGTTTGCCCACCCCTTTATCTTATTTGAGGTGAATTTTGCATAATAAATATACGTCAGGACACCGATAATCATATATAATAAAGGGAAATCTATTGCTGCTACAGCAGCGAGCATTAAATGTTCAAGAACGTCTTTCCAAATTTGCCGATAAACCATCAGGATATTGCCAGAGCCATTGTGGAAAATACCGATGGAGACGGTTGGTATCTTCGTATATCACAGTCTCGTTCATTGTGATGAAGATTCACATTTTACGCTGCTCAAAACTACTATTGCACTTGGCATCACCACAGACAAAATAAAACAAGAAATTGTTTGTTTGGTTAAAAAATGTAGATCTTAAGATAGCACTTTTGAGTGAATATTGTAGTAAATTTGACTAACAAGGGATAATAGGTTGACACCACTAGGCAAGGCAGAATCCATAACTTTTGTCCATAGGCTGAAACAAAAAAAAAACAATGTCAACATATTTTGGATTATTTATAGTCACAAATATATCCCTAACAGAATTAACAACACTGTTCTAACAGTACCTATCGTAAGATAAGAAAGATTCAACCTAGGAAGGCACATCTGTTTCAATCTGGTATTTATCAAGGATACATTTTGAATATCATGAGAGTACTGGCCCAAAACACAGTTTTGATCAATTTCAGCAATTGCCTTTATAATAGTCATGCTAGTGTTTAGTTTTGGATTATTGGATGAAGTATTATTTTGATTTAAATATCAATATTCAACTGATAAATATTTTTTTGGGTCTTCACTTCAGTAGCCTACCGCCCACCATTCTTTAAAGTGTGCTGTTGCGGCGTTTCTGGTTAGCCTATATGTTAGTAGGTCTACATAAAACTCAAGTATAGGTAAAAGTATAGGCCTAGGTAAGCTTTTGTAAATTTATCTCTTCAAAAATGAATTACATAACTAACAGGCTAGGCCTATATCAAATTTTGTTTTATAGTTACCTTGATTATTATTATCAAACTAAGCCAAACTGAACACTGCAGAACAGTGTGAAAAAACATACAATCAATATTTATATTGCGTTAAAACTATGCCCGATACGAAATAAATATCAAACTAATATTTCATCCAATAACAGCCCATATCATAGGTTCTATGCGGAACTGTATACCTACCTTTTATAAAATCAAGACTAAGTTAACTGTCATGATTTAGTGTAAAAGCCTAGCCTATTTATCTACTATTTAGTATTTCTCTCAAAATGTTACCAAATGTGTGAGTTTCCCTAAGATAATGGTTTAAGTTTGGTACTTCATGCCCCAATGGCTAAACATATAACTTAGATAACCATGAATTACACAACAAAGCCTTCACTTAAGTTACAACACTGTTTATACAGGGGTGTTTTTTTTTCAAAACTTGCTTCTTTATTTATGTAAAAACTGCAATAGATAGAAATACACAGTTTGTGGGGATCGTCTATTGAAGTAGGGGCCACAATTGCAACTTACAATTTTTAAATTGCAAGGTACCCCTTTTTGACATTTCAAATGTGAGGGCATGAAAAAATAAAACGAATGGCGCAAACTAGAGATCTCTACGTCAATCCTATCATAAGTTATGGCAGTTCAAAATTTAAATTTTTCGCCCCCTTTTTTAAGAAAAACACGTTTTTAACGGCTGTGTAGGTAGAAAAGGATACAAATAGCACAATATTTGAAAGAATTTTCATGGTCAGGCATTAAATTTTCTACAAAACACTCTTAGGCGTTTCCACAAATCACACTCCTTCACCTTCAAAAATCGCCCTACTTCTAAATAAGCATGCCAGCTAGTCACACCGTTGAAAAATGCTTGTTCAATAAAAAAACCGTAAAAACTCAGAGAAATTTTAGAAGTAGGGCGAATTTGATGGTGGAGGAGTGCGATTTCCGGAAAACGCTTAAGTGTGTTTTGTAGAAAATTTATTCATGACCATGAAATTCTTTCAAATCTTTGCTAGCTCTTACCATGTTTTAGCTACAGCCGTTTTAAAAAAAACCGTTCTTAAAAAAGGTGGGCAAAAAATTAAATTTTGAACTTCCATAACTTTTGATAGGATTGACGTAACTTAGAGATCTCTAGTTTAGGCCATTCTTTTTCTTTATCAGAGATTTTAATGCCCTCACATGTAATATGTCAAAAGGGGTACCTTGCAGTTAAAAAATTGTAAGTTAAGGGTAGGGGGAGAATGGGAACTTCATATTAAATTCACAACAATTGTGGCCCTTACGTCAATAATAGACGATTCCAGCAAACTGCATATCTCTATCTAAGTTATTGCAGTTTTTACATAAATAAAGAAGCAAATAAAAAAACACCCTGTATAGACATAGCCAAAAATATACCTGACAAGTGGTGCAATGTAGTAAACAAGTACCGTACCGTACCCAATAACCATATAAGAGTTTGAGAAGCCTATAGGCAAGGCCCCATAAAAACAGGCCATGTTGCAGCGCAACACTAGGTCACAGTGGTGGACAGTCGTACAAAAATCTTGCCGTTAAAATCTGACAAACAACAAGCTTATTTACCTAAAACATAACTAATGGGATATGGCAGTGAATCTATCCACAAGTGTGACGTCATGGATCCTGCAGCATGGCCTGTTTTTATAGTCCCCGGGGCCTTGGTTTAGGCTACTAAGTTAGTATTGTTATTGCAATAGATCGTAGGTTTGATCAATTCTCTGAAGATCAAGGATTTGAATTCATCTCAGCCAGGACTGGAGTAGGCTACAACTCATAATAAGTTAAGGGTATTTAACCCTCCAAGTGTCCATAGTTTAGGCCTTAATGTCCACCTATTTTTGGCGCATTTGCAAGGTTTTATTAAAACGGATCTGAGAAGCTTAAAACAATGTTAATTCTAATGTTCTATATACCATTTTGTTTGGCAAATCATGGGCTTCAATATCATATATAAAACATAAGGAATATTTGTTTCAAAAAAATTTTTTAGGTAAAAAAAAATTATTTTGGAAAATTTGAAAAAAAAAATATAAGTTCGCGCTCAATGAAATTGTATAAATTATAGGCCTATAAATATTTGAAAATAGCCACTTTGTTCTAAATTTAATGAGGATTACAAATATATAATCATATAGTGAGGTAAGTTATCAAATAAATAAGTTATGAGTGAAAAACGGATTTCAGTACATAGCGTTTAGCTAAGAATGCATAGCCTAACCATAGCTAGGAATCTGGCTGATAATTTACATCAATATCACTACCTACTTCTTCAGGATCATCAACCAGCCCTTCAAAATCACTTAAATCTTCTTATAATGCACCACGTATATCACTACTTTTGATTTTTAACACTAAAACAATGATAAACGTAATAAAACACATCAGTCATCAGTCCGAGGATAACCAAGCTGTTTACGAATATGCACGTCAGCTGTCTGCTACAATTACGATCGGCTCGGAGAACATACAGCGCTGAGACAGACCTCTGGAGAAAGCTTAGAATATAACGGAAAGAACGATAGACTACCTAACTCGATCCAGTTCAATCCGATTCAGTCAGTCATAGAGCCTTCGCCGTAAACGATGTTCGTGCATCGAAAAATCGACGCGTGACACTACACAAAGTGTGTAGCGCGTCGATTTTTCGACGATGGACGCTCGGAGGGTTAAGTTATCTATGACCCAGACATAAAAAGTTCTATGCTCATTAGGAAAGAAAGAATATTTTGCCAAGGAAGGTATTGTGTTAGGCAGGCCTTTCCTTGGGCCCCAAAGTCATAAAACCTCTTGCGCTCCTAGGCCCATTTATTAAGGCCTAGGACAATTATTCCGCCTAGGGCGCATAAACAAAACTATTACCTACAAGCAGCTAATTAGCGTAAATTAATTGTTGCTTCGAAGTTGTGGTGTTGCTGTCATGGAACAGTTTAAAAGCATTTTTTTTTTTAACTTTTAGGTGGATCAAAAACATAACCTCATATCGAGGACTTATTCTAACCTGTAGTGGAATGATTTGTTTTAAACAACTGCCAATAGTTTACACTATGTTACATAATTACCTGGACAATACAGATATTGGAAGTCTTCAGCAATCATATAACGTAAGCATAACTTATAAAATGCAAAACTTTAGGATAATAATAAGGTAAAGGTGCTGGTGTAATGAAATAATATTGTGTAATGACCAGGTAATGACATGTTACTGAACTGAAGTGAACTGACTGAGACTGACTGACAAGAGTGACAAGGAATTATGGAAAGGAAATGGAACAGAAACAGCGAGCGGTAGCGTTGCGACCTTGGGTCAGCCACGGCCATGCCACGGCCGCCTTTATTTCTAGGCCGCGGCCTTCGAAGTGGCAACGTCGCAAGTGGTGTTGTAACAGCTGTTTTGTTTGAAAGCAGCTAATAGTAGTTGAGTATTTACGAAAGATTGGTTACTGGACTATGTCAATATAAACTCCACTTAAAATGTACAGATATAGATTTTTAATTGATATTGTTCCGGTTTTCAATTCCGTAAGTTTTATTTTAATAAATTGATGTTTATAAATTTAAATTTAAATCAATAAAGTGCGAATTAGTGAGCTGATGTCACCTGTCTGTCATGTTATCTTATGGGACGTCTGTCACTAAAAAACACCACTTGCAACGTTGCCAATTCTACCAGGCCGCGGCCTGTAGTTAAAGGTGGCCGTGGGTCAGCACTAGCAGAGCGGGTAGATCTAGTGTTTTGATTTGATTTACATCTCCAGTGTTTCCATTTAAAAAATTAATTCGTCAAATATCCCGGATCTATTCCATGGAATAAATAGCTAAGGCCAATAGGGAGAAGAGAAGTACTATTTACACATTATATGCAGTTTATACACAACGATGTATACACACATCACAACTAAGTACGTTTACGTCGTGGTGACTTCAAAAAATGTAGATCTACGAACGATTTGACAACCCCGCCATAGTGAAAGTTCCCTACCCCAACAAAGCATAGACTCTCAACCTACAAAACCAACCCTTCTCGGCAGTAGGTCAGTGAACAAAGTCAGTACCCCTACACTACAGGATCCCCTTCAGGTGTCCGTCGCGCAAGTCGCCACGACGTAAACGTGCTTAGTTGTGATGTGTGTATAAACTGTATATAATGTGTAAATAGTACTTCTCATCTCCCCGGTGATGCCACACACTGTGGCAAAATATATTGGAGGATTATAACATCTTTCTGCAAGAACAAGGGCTAAGGTAACAATAGTTCAATAATTAAACCTCTATCAAAAAGAAGAAGTTTGGGGCGGCGGATCGACGTGCTGGATCCACGGCCACCTTAAACTCCAGGCCACGTCCTTCGAAGTGGCAACGTCACCAGTAGTGTTGCAATAGTCGCAGCTAGTCTGGGCGCACGGCCGTGCTTCGGTGGGGGGGGGGGGTGGTTAGAGGGAAGTGTTTATTGTTCATTTCCAAAAACATCTGGCCCACATGGCAAGCCATCAGTGCTGCGGCTGAGGGTTGTGGGCTGTGGAGGTGAGTGAGCCGCAATTTTCAGGACGGCTAGTACCGGTACACTAAGGTCCGCGCACCCAGACTAACTGCGACAACTTTTTTTGTAACGTAACCACGGCCGCCTTAGGGAAGGGTGGGCCACAGTGGAACAACTATATTTTTCCTATTTGGCTAGTTTTTCTTATCAGACATGGGCCACAATGGAACTGTTCCACTGTGACCCAACAGCATGTGTTTCATTGTAACAAAAAATATTACCTATTATATGGTATTAATTTATTAGTTTGAAACCCAACTATGGGGGTTTTTCCATCAAAATAACCTTTTTTGGAAATTTATCAATAGGTGAAGTCTTGACTGCCTGTTTTTTTAAACAAGATTTTCTAGAAAATGTATAGAATGAAACTTATATAGCCTTCTGTATATTTATGTTGAATTTTGTAAATGACCCATAGCAATTTCTATACTACGGTATTTCTATATACGGTAGGCTATGAAACTTCTTGTTACAACATATACCGTAAATAAAGACCGGTAAAGTTTTATTAATGTAGCCTACATATAATATCACAACACCATAGGAACATTAATAATGTTATAATGTTGTCTTGAAAATTCACATAATACCATAGATAAAAAAACATACTCCCCCTTGTGTTGGATAGTCTATGATAATACTCTGTTTCTATCTCAAAAATATACAGTACAATATAGTACAACTGCTTTTCATCCAATTTTTAAACTAATGCAAACTGCAGATAAACAAAAAGGGGCATTTGAAATATTTAAAGGCACTTCCAGGGTTAAATCAGGACACTGTTTGAATACTGGTAAGGCATTTAATTTTTGTGGTGTTATTTACAAATGGTTAAATTTCTCTAATTTACATTCTTTTTTATTTGAATTTTGATATATGAAGGGAATCTGTCCAAAGGATTTTTCATAGACACACCTGAATTCATCCTAGAACTATAAACTCTTTACAGTGGACAGTGATGATTTTCCAAGTCAGGCTGATGGTAAACTCCTCATCTGACGCACAGCGGCGACCAACTTGGCTGGACAGCCGGCGCTCTGGGTGTGATACGAGTCCGCAGGCAGCCGCAACAGTGTGGCCATCTGGCGCAGAGTGTCCGTCAGCCCAAACCCCAAATCCTCCAGGACGTTCCCAAGATAGCCTTCGGGATAATATACATCGAATATAGAATAATAATTTAGCGTCGCTCTTGAGTGTAAGATTGTGTGAAAATATAATTTTCCTACAGTCACCCGACAAAGTGGGCTTCCTTACACTGATTACAGTATAGAAAGCTGCTGATTGCTGCATTTACTTACTTGGCGCACACTTCTTACTTTGTCGCACAGTATTTTATTTTTTTTTTTGCCACACACCAGTATTCCAACCTAACAACACAAAGTATCATGCTTTTATTATGCACGCAATCCGTGTACGCTTGAAAATAAGTTGGCAAAAGTAAAAAATTTTACAACTACGATCAGCTGGTGCATACAGCGTTTGACATTTTGTTCAATGTTTGGATTTAACCTAACCTAAAAACGTGTTTCTCTCATGTGCAGCAAAGTGCCACTTCGCCCACTAGTTACACAAATAACTATTTAATATTGTAATAATTTACTTTGAAATGGCGACCATACGGAAGGAAGTAGGTATTTTAAGCCAAGTATTAATAGAGATGAGTGTAGTATGAGTGGCGCGATCTTTATATAGTCTTGTTAGTGACTAAGGCTGACATAATCCTTAGACACAGGTGTTAATTAATAGCCCATGCACCCAATGGCAACTAAGGGACCTAAAGTTTATAGTGGAGTTCCAATCACATTTTTGCCTTGTAATTATTAAATTGGTATACTCATCAGGATACTGCACAGTGCTTGATTTGTAAAAAATGAGGTGCCGAAACTGTATCCTATTCAATGCGATTTGTAACTATTTATGTACCTTTTTTAACAATAATATTTTTTTTCTTTCTAAAAGAGAGTACCGGAATTCTGTTCCACCACGTTCTTTGACAAATCGAGCACTGATACTGCGGATAGTCGTAGTACTCACTAGTGCGGAAGTTAATCCACACCAGGGAGTATTGCATCCACAGTGCATGCCTATTAATATCTACAATTCGTGACCTAGTAGTTGGATTACAGGACGACGCTGCCGCCCCACTCTTTTCTTCCTTACCGTCTTTGCAATCAAAGATGATACTGCACTACGACCGTATTCGTGTTGTATCGTGTGTCCGTCCTGTCTTTATATCTGTATAATTTTTATTTTAACTGCTAACGCAATGCAAATGAAGACTTTTAAAACAGAAAACACAAGACTTCCGTTTAGTGTACTACTACGATGGAGTAATCTCAGAAATGGCTGTAGTGCAGAATCACGCTGGTTCGAATCAAATTCTCTTTACTCCTTTACAGTACAAGTTATACAATGAATAGCGGCAAATAAATTAGATTATGAATGCGAAGACCATTATGATTAAATCAATAATATTAAAACGAAACTGGGTTTTTTTATTTCACGATTCTGAATCAACCACTTGACGGATTTTCATGATTTTTGTGTTGAAAGAAAGATAATTTTGAGAACTAGGGAATGTCGAAGCCATAATTTTAGTTTAGGGTCCCAGTTTTTAGAAATTAAGTTTTAATTCTCAAAAAGTCTAGCAGCTGACGGACGAGTTAAAGTCGTTTTACTGGTGGTTTAACTAACAGCTGGTTTCTAACTGTCATTGAAATGTTTATGTCACAAGATGTTTGTATACAAAACTATTGATCCAGAGTTTGCCTACACACTATTTCACTTTAAAATGTAGTTTATTACCTACCGTAAAAGATCTATGTTATCAGGAGATTGTGTAATTTTGAACTTAACATTTTAAACGTATAATTAAGTTTTGTTATAAATGCAATCCGTCTAAGTACAGGGAGCGGCAGAAATATCTGACGGTTTTCAAGCGAGTACAGTCCGGCAGCCAAGTGGAGGAGGGTGGTGGGGAGCGGCTCATTCTCAAGGCCAAAGATGACATTTCAGTCGCCATAGAGCAGTGGACCGGTATACATCGCGCGTTTGTCGTTGAGGCGTATTTTAAAAATGGCGATTCTGTTGTTGATACGCAACGTAAGTTTCGTAGGCATTTTAATGTGGCTCGTGGGGAACCTATCCCATCCCGAAACACCATCAAATGTGGGTGGATAACTTTAGATCCACAGGATCAACTGCAAAACGTAGGCCTACAGGCCGTCCAAGGTCAGTGAGGACGTCGGAGAACGTGGAGCGAGTGCGACAAACAGTGCTAACGAGCCCGCATCGCCCGGCGCGTGGACAAGCTGCTGCTCATGGCATGTCTGAGCGCTCTATTCGACGAATTTTGCACTCAGACCTTCACTTTCACCCATATAAAATAGCAATCGTCCAAAAACTTCAGCAAAATTTGTCGAATAGAGCGCTCAGACATGCCATGAGCAGCAGCTTGTCCACGCGCCGGGCGATGCGGGCTCGTTAGCACTGTTTGTCGCACTCGCTCCACGTTCTCCGGCGTCCTCACTGACCTTGGACGGCCTGTAGGCCTACGTTTTGCAGTTGATCCTGTGGATCTAAAGTTATCCACCCACATTTGATGGTGTTTCGGGATGGGATAGGTTCCCCACGAGCCACATTAAAATGCCTACGAAACTTACGTTGCGTATCAACAACAGAATCGCCATTTTAAAAATACGCCTCAACGACAAACACGCGATGTATACCGGTCCACTGCTCTATGGTGACTGAAATGTCATCTTTGGCCTTGAGAATGAGCCGCTCCCCACCACCCTCCTCCACTTGGCTGCCGGACTGTACTCGCTTGAAAACCGTCAGATATTTCTGCCGCTCCCTGTATAAGTGCTCAATCCTTTAAGATATAAGTGGTTTACGTGTTGATACATCTTTTTCTAGATTTTTGAATATAAGTATGACTGCATACAGTACACATGAAAATGTCAACCGGTGTAGTAGGTCTCCAGAAAACTGACCAGTAAGCTGCAGGGTGTCAGTAGAAACCAAAATCGATTCATACCATATCATAACTATCCCAGTAGTACTGATAGTAGTACTGATGATTCAGAAACTTGATAAAGGGGTACATTCTAAAAGTCTCAGATCTCGGATGGGCTGGGCAGGCTTTGCATGGCGGAGAGAAGATACTTCAACTTTTAAAAGTGTATTCCAAGGAGTACTACAAGGTAGAAGACCACTTGGAAGACCAAGTAATGAAAGACATCTTCAGACTGGTATCTTCCTTAGAAATGGCAAGGGATAGAAGAGAACGGGAGGCCAGGATCATTTTAGAGGTTTCAGTGGCCAAGGTGGTAAAATAAGGTAGGTAAGTGATAGTAGGCCTATGCAGTGGAAGGTGGTATGTAGCTGATGTAATGAAGTGTGAATCGGCCACCAAGTTGTAAACTAGCTGTTCTGAATCATATACAGTTTTAATAGACTACTCGATTCCCGTACGTAGGACGGGCCAAACCGCTCGTATATTTTTAATAATAATTTTAAAAATGTACACTCTGTAATAAGTTTTGAGCTTGAATTGTTATCAAGCTTTTGAAGGGAAGACTTTGGTCTACGAAGGGAATCTGTACAAAGGTTTCACAATTCACGAGCGCTGCTAAAAGAGCGCACAACATGGTATAGGTATACAATTAATAATAACTAATTAATAGCCATATTCTGATATAGTTAATAATATTACTCCCTGATACAAATAAATGAACTAAGAGAACAGAATTTAAAGAAACTTACAATATACGATGGTACTGAAAGGTGTGTATCTGTTAAAACTTGGGTGCGAGAGAAAAAAATCCAATCCTCTGCGTATCCAAAAACATTTTGGTGGCTTAGGCACACTTTCCCTAAAAGTGTTTCTTGTTTCTTAACTAAAAATGCCAGAGCATAGATATTATGAGAAAAATTTAAACGTTTACTCAACTTACCAATGTCTGTGGCAAGCTGCTTGCAGGTGTTGGGTGACAATTCACAGACACTCAAGATTCGGTCCGCAAAAGCCTGGAACATAAACAATCTATCCTTAATGTTACCAGAAAAGGTATAAAAACAAAGCTATAGACTCTTGGGTCAATAACACTTTGTAATTTTCATTGAAGGTTCCCAAACGAGTATTTGAAAATGACCAGGTCATTTTTCTTTACGTTGCCATTGTTCTTGAGTTGTAGTTGTATGTATACTACCATTTGTACAATAATACTGTATTGTATTGTCCATCTTCAGGGGATCTTCTTATACTATCGCACTAACACTGACACTATTGTCAATATGTATCTATATCTATATATTTTTTGTGATAACTGTTTTGAAGATGCTATGCATCCGAGTGCCAAGTTTAGGGTGTCGTTGGATAGGTTGTGGCACCTAGATTTGCTATCAAGCTAAATATTCTAGAAATTCCATCAGGGCTATGCCTGGAAGTTTCCATGCTATTCTTAGGGGGTAAATGTTTGTTTACATTTGAACAGATGAATACTTTGAAATTTACACTAAACCCATGTTATCTTCTAACATTTATCACATTAATAAGTAGCACGACGCCGGTCATGTTGGCAGGAGGACCTTTTTCCTCAATTACATTTTTCAAGCTGGGTGTGTTGGAATAGTGTTCAGTTGATGGTAGGGGCTTTCCAGTTTAATATTCGGACAGATGATTCGATCGTTGTGTTGCAGGTTACAAACTTGACCACGATAAACAATGACAATGACCAGTGTAAATAAATGAGACAATAATGTTAGTGTGACAGTATAAGAAGATCCTTTGACGATGCCACACAAGCTGGCAAAAGTGGACATAGGTTAATATACTCGTACAACTACAACTCAAAAACAAAGGCAACAAAATAAGGTGATAACTATTTTAATATAGACTGAGGAGTTACCTGGCAAGTCCCTTTAGCTACGGCTCCCAACAAGATCTCAGCACTTCCGACCTCCCCTCCTCCCCCCACCACTCTTAGAGCTGAGGTCAACGAGGGGTTCTCATGCAGAAGGAACGGCTCCAGATGTTGTGGCAAGGTCATGAGATAATTACCAATCTGAGAACAGCAAAAACACATCATTGATAATGTTATGTTAGTAAAAAATAAAAAGAAACCATTGATTTATTTATTTTAAAATTATTGTGAGGATTTTATTTTACTCAAGATTATTTATGATACTAAACATTTTTGCCACAAATGCCAAACCCTTTTTTCTCCTGAGACATTATTAATATTGTTTCGTAGTTCTATTTTTTTCATTTCCTTATTGCGAACTTAACGCTTTCTGGGGATGTTTACCCGTTCAGGGGCTAACCACAACAAAAAGTAGCTCTTTAGCACCCCCCCCCCCCACACCTTGGAACCGCAACTGTAGATAGATAGTTTATAAATGAGTCATCAGACATGCTGATGCTAATGCTCTAACTTACAATAAATCGTCATATCAGTCTGACTTGGTTAAAAAGTAGACAAATTTGACATAAATCACTAATTTATACCAGTACACTCTGTCGGATTCTAAATAGTGACAACTTAGCTTGTGACAAGCATTTTTAGTAATGTATAAAACAGTTGTGGGCTACAACCTGCGTAATGAACTCCTGGGGTGTGAAGCTGTAGTCGGGCATGTCGGGAGTGGAAGTGTCCGTCTGTCCGAGAGTCCATCTCTCCATCTGGGATACGACAGGGGCCAATATAACCTGCTGTGTGGTGAAATGTACATCTCGGCACAGCTTCTCAACGGCACTCACAACTGACTCCAGCAGCACACTCTCCTCACCTACAAGTTACAAAGGCATAGACTACAGTTACATAATTACATTTCGTTGCTGTATTACCCCCGGCGCAACAAACTTTCAGACCAAGCTATTTTTTTTTGCCTTATTGTATTTACATTTACACTCAAATATTTTCAGCAGTACTTAGGTTTGCTGCTACAGGGAAAACAGTTTTTTTTTATATAATGTTAATAGTATAGTATGGAACAATTAAATTTGCTGTACTGGATCAAAATGTATCAATAAACAAGCCAACTACAAGAGTTTACCTTTACTCCACAAACATTTAGGAATTTCAGATTTTTGGATTGTTGGAGTTTGCTCCTTAAAGATCAGGCTTATAAGAGCGCTTCAATATACTAAATTGTTTGATTTTAAGCTCTAAAAAATGGATTTGAAAGAAATTGTGATGGAATAATGGTCACAAATGGAAAAAAAACCGTTCCCATAGTCCAATATTGTAGGTTCGTAAACTTGTTGGAGTACACGTAGGTTGTACCAAATTTAATCAAAAGCGGATGAATTTTACCCCAGTCATTGTGCTGCTAACAGACACACTCGCACATAACATTTCAATTTGAACGGATGGTGTTTTTGGCCTCGAGGCACAACTAAACGAAAAAGTATACACAATGTAAAAATATATCTTACCACTGAGTACAGATGAAACCAACCGATCCAACTCTGACTTTTGATTGGCCGAGAGCAACAAAGTAGAAAACTCAGACAATGTTGACTTTCGATTGGTATTGATGAGAGTTTGAATCAATTCTGCATCAAATCTTTTCACTTCTCCAATCAATTCACCTGTGAAAAGATTGGTTGAAAAAATCTTTAAATCACAAATGGATAAAAACACCTTAGTTGTGTCCCAATATTAAAAGGTGAAATGTTAAACTGTTTGCATTTCTATCCTTAAAGAATACAGATAGTTAGTTAGGGATAGACGAGATTGAAATTTTAGTTCGAGACGAGACGAGACGAGATTTTTTATTTCTCATAAAATTTCGAGACGAGATCGAGACGGGATTTCCCTTCTCATACACAACGGGAAATACACGTTCAAAATTTTTACCTGATTTTGTAACATTGTTAGATGACTGTTTAAATACAAAAATAATGATAATAGGCAAGAATATTTACAATCTTTTATTAAAAAACATCAGCATAACATTTTTTTATTAATCACGCCTAACTTATTAAAAATGCCTACGATTAGGAAACATAGTGATATCAGTTAGGATAGAGTTCAACTTATCCTAAAATAAAATAAATCATAAAATAAAAGCAATATTAATTTTAATAAAATAGTTACTTGTTTTGACTTTTTATAGTAATAAAACATTCCTCACACTGCTTACACTTAACAAAACTTCTCAAATGTTATTTAAGTAATATTATTAAAATAATTAAAGTAATATTTACATTTATAGAATTAATTAAATAAGAACGCCTTCGCAAAGGAAACGCAACTACAACACGCTCCTGTATTGCGGGTATTGCATTGACTTTCTGCAGGCGTTTTAAATTTTTTTTTTTTTTTTTTTTTTTTATTCTCGTCTCGATAAAAATCTCGGCCAAAAAGAAATCTCGTCTTGTGTAACGAGATTTAAAATTTCCCGAAAATTTCCCGAAATTTCGAGACTTGACCATCCCTATTAGAAATATATTGAAGAATCACCTTTTAACCAGCTATTTTATAAGAAGCATCTCTTTGAACAGTCATGTATTGTAAGTAGTGTTTTTCTCTACAGCAAATTACACTCACATTTATTGCGATTTCTGTGAAAAACTATAATTCAACAAATTTAAGCCCGCTTCAATTTAACTGGCCACGTTTTTGCCTTAAGGTGGCTGGTGAAGAGGATAGTTTTACATGGTGTGGAAGAAAATAGCTTTTAAATTGTTACCCTGTAGTTTTTTAATAGAGCAGAAATTAATTGCTCTGGACACAGATCATATAGGTCAATCAATAGAGCTTTTTATTGATTAAAATTAGAACAGCAGTTATGTTTTAACACTCATTGTGATTTTCCTATACCGCACATCACCAACATACCTAAAGACATAAGCTGTAGGATTTCTGCAATATGTAACTTATACAAATCTAAGTCTATCACTAAAATTTGTGTGCAATATTGTTTGATTTTCTCCAAATGAGCTGCCTCATTTTGGTTAGGTTAGGTCTAATGTATTTCTACCAACCGGAGGTTTGCAGTAGAGTCAGACACATCTGGAACATGTTCCAATCTTCTTGCGACCCTTTCCTCATCCCCAGCTGTCTCAGCACTGAGCTGTATTGTTCCAGATAGCCGTGCCAATACACCTGAAAATCCCGTTAAACTAGGTCAAAACCAGGATTACTTGTCGAGATTACGAGCAGCTTTACCTGTGCTTCGCAAAAGAGGGAGTGTGCAAAAGACAATAATGCTGTTCTTTAGATCGGCTGTATGAAACCAAACACTTATTTTATTTTATGCCATACTACACTGTTTTAACGAACTTCCCACGCAAGTATTTAGTCCAGAAAACCGCTGTTTGCCGCCAGCTTAATCAAATGGGGTTTCATTGCGTACTACTGTACTGTAATGAGTTTTACCGGACACCAAACAGCAAATTATACTGTATTTGGGTGGCAATGAGTGGTTGTAAACAAAAACATAACCTCCCTAAGAGGTTATGACTAGTGATTTTTAGTCCTTTAGTTGGTGGTAATATATAACAATTTGTACAGATTTAGTAGTATGGCGTAAACTATCGTACATAACTCGTCCAAAATGTGTTTACCGGACTCGTATGGTAATCCCATACTCGATTTCGTCTCGCACGGGAACGACCACACTCGTCCGGTAAACACTTATTTTCAGGACTAGTAACGTAATATACTATTCTAGTGTAGTAATTTTTTCCCTTTAAATTGAGATAAAGGGTGCAACTTGTCTACTGTTGTCTACTTGTTACTGATGGATCAGCCGTTTCTCCTGTATGAAATGTGAAATACCTGGAGAGCCTTTACTAGGCCAGGATACGCAGTTCCTTCGGAGAATTGAAGACAGCGTTTCAAAGCTTCCCCTGCAATAGAGGAGGCACTGGTGATGGACTGGCCTAGGCCTTGCACAGAGTCCATCAAATCATCTTTGGAAACCTGGAAACATCAACTTCTAACAGACCAGACACAGCATTGTAAAATATAAATTGTATATTAAGTTGGACAATATCAGTAAACCTTTTGAAAACATAGTCATAAAACTCAATCTTGGACAACAAGTAAAAATATATTACGAGATTTGACTGCTTCCCTACAAATATAATTTGATTTCCTATTTCAGGATATGCTTTGGTATTATTCTTCTAACACGTTCCCTGCCCTACATTGTTTAATCATGATTAAACGACTTTAATTTTGATTAACAGAACATGAATTTCCCTACTAGCACTACTGGTAAAACTGACATTACTACTACTGCATCGCTAAAACATCTTTGTTAAATTTCTACTGTAGTATTGGGAAGCTCTTTGCGCATAAGCCTTACCTTCAATGTAGACAACTGTTGACAAATATGTTGCTCCTCAAATGTTGCGTACTTGGTTACATAAGGAATATAAGGAGCATAGATAGCTTTGGCCACTTTGGGCCACGAATCTGCTTTTCCTGCAATTTAAATCAACAATCAATTCTATTTTAGTATTTTAAATAATTAATTATCAAGGCAGTAAAAGATATATTTCCTTTGTTGATGGTAATTTTGATGTATCGCTATAGGCTGTTGTTAACATTGGTGTTTATACCTGCTTATGTTTGTCTAATCTACTCTAGCCTCAATATTTTGGGCTGAGGTTAGAACAGAAATTTGTATTCAAATTTGTATTCTCTGTAAACCGTTGTATCAGTAACTTCAGTGTTGTTAGTTACTGAAGTATCTGCAATCATGGTAAAACAACATGACTATGACATAATTGTCGAAACTTGTCGTTGTTCAATAATTGATTTTAAAAAAGGGTACTTAGTTTTAAATAATGTAGTTTTATACAAAAATAATAATATATCTTAGTGCTTTCATTGAATTTACAAAATTAGGTTCAACTTTTTTTATTCAAAATAAAAACTAGTGAAGATTTTTTAGCTCAAGAATTCAACATTAGCCTAGCAATTTCTCCAGAGGAAAGATATTGATTACTTCCTAATATTCATGCAATAAAATCGCCTTGGAATAAAATATTGCGTAACTATTTATATAACAATTGTGAAAAGCTTGGCACAACCATTACATCCAAGAATTACAATTTTTCACTACCTTGAGAGGTGATAGCGGACTGAAGGTTGTGTGCGAAAGAGTCTGTGAGTTGTTTCAGTTCAATGAGCAACACGAGTGGTTGGTTGTGTTGCTTCAACGCAGCGTCAATGCAGACATTGAGACTAGGGTCAAGACTGAGCAGAACATCTGCGTAAATCTCACCCATCGAACCTACAGAGCCGAACACTTGCTGGTACCACTTCACCTGGACATAAATACAATTTGGTAGGCCTAAATAGCGCATTGAGTTTGTGAAGAAATTTTGCAGTAAAACCCAATGTGTTTAAATTTATATACTGTGAAGGCATCAAGTACACTTTACTTATTTCTGTAACTTTATGGTATTTGGAGTATTTGGACTTAACAATTTGGATAGCAATTGAATTGAATTTGCAGACACTGCCATTTCAAATACATGGCTTAAGGACGCTCCATACTGTGTGAACGTAGAATGGAACGTACCTGTTGTTGCCAGTGACACATAAGGTTCTCATACAAGGAGCTCATCCATTCCGTCACACTCAGATCTTGCTCCTCCACCAAACAGTGCCATTGTTGGCACAAAATTCCTTTCTGGCATTTGTGGTAATACTTGAGCAACTGTGGCAACCTTTCCATGGCTGAAAATATCTCCAAGAACTTCCGAGCTTGTTCTGTAAAAAAGCAGAATGATTGTAATGTTAATTTTTAAAGCCAAAATAAAAAGTTTGGAAATTTTATCACTTGGATTGGATTTGTATGCATTCATCCATGCCTTCTAGAATAAAACATGAGGTCAGTATTAAGACCTATATAGTAGGTGCATGTTTAAACTGTGTATGCTCAAAATGCTAATAGACAAGTAAATATTTCAATAAGCTCTAGTGAGTTCTAACACTGAGTAAATATACAGGTGAACTGCACTGATAAAGTAATGGCAGGTACCAGGATCCGAAATGACGACATCGCTGCCTTGGGCCCAAAGTCTGTGGGGCGACCAACTGAGTCACCGACTTACCATTAACATAAATAATACAACATCTTGGTAATAGCACGGCCTCCTTTAGCTACAGGCCGCGGCCAGCGAGAATTGGCAATGTCACACCGAGCAGTAACTCCCGGCCGTTTCACCATTACGGTAGTACGAAACTAGTGGTCGCGGTTTAAATATACTGCATTTTTACACCCTTACAATTGAGATAAAATTTTGAAATTTGGTACAGAGCTAGGGAATAAACTCTTCATGGCAATGGTATGGTTTTGAAGATTAAAATTTCATTTGGTACTATATATAAATATTTTTTAAATTAATACATTAAAAAAAGTTTGGAAAAGTAAAGTGAAAAAGTTAGTCGCCTACTCAAATTTTTGTTTGTTGGTCAGAGAAGTTTCGTCTGTGAGAAAGTTGTAGATAATTAAATATACTTTACTGTTTGTATTTAACTTTTCTTTCTATCATGCTTAGTTTTGTTAAAATTTTGGGTTAAACAGAGCGACCAAATCTCAGTTTTATGTTGCGGCACGGCAAGTAGCGCTGCCCGCAAGGTGTAGTGTAGTATCGCGTAGCTAATAATTAATTTATGCCTACTGAATTATTTCGAGCAAGTTGATATGCCTTTTAGTTATCCTAAAGAATATTACTTTTGTATGAAGTGCTATAATATACACATTCCCAACCAGTACAGAAGTTATAACTGAAACCTCTACCTGTGTTTCTTAAATTTTCCCATGATAAGTAATATTATTACAGCGAACAGTTCCTGACGTTCCTGACTAATATTGCAAAGTAATAATATTTCTCATCTCTACACTAAAAAAAAACAACTGTCGTACTCACCGATGGAGCCTGAAGTGAACGCCTGTACCAGGTGAGGACTTGCGATTGCCTCAAGCCTGTTCTTGAGTCCCTCCAAATGCAGTTTACGTTCCTCGTAATCCGAAGCGTTCGCCAGTATGTTCAGAGATTGCTGCATGCTCACCAGCTTAGAGGCTATCTGCTCTATGTTATTGCTTTCAAAAACCTGTCCAAAAACATCCACAGTTTTAGTAGCCAAGACAAATATTATAAGTTAGACGAACAGTTAGTGAATTTCCGTAAGCTATTACCTGTAATACCTAAAATCTGGGATCAAACTCGTTGTTTGTTTTAATGTCCTCAGAGGCCATAAACACTAATCGTTCAAAATTATATATACAAAAACATATGTCTATTAGCACAATAACTTAACTAAAAAGCATATGATTTAGATGGGATTTGTTACAAACCTGTAAACTTACGTTCATTTAAAAGGGTTTGCAACGGACCATGGAGACGGGGTTTTATACGTCACAAATTAGGTTATCCCATTTTCGACCCTGAATATAAAAAATTTTGCAATTTCTTTCCAGACCATTTTTTAGAGCTAAAAAAAATAATTTAATATATTAGAGCGTTGATCACTTAAGGAGCCAGACTGCTGTTAATAGGAAGACTTGATCTGCGATAAAAGGTAGTTAATTAATTTTCTTGTCTGATTACAGAACTTTAATAAAGTAAATGGGGTATTCTCTGTAATCTATTAACAGGGTGATAGGCGACACTTCAGTAATAGTTGATTTATCATATTACGTTAAATAACGCCCTTATAGATCAAATGTCTACTTCAGTTAACCAAATTCAGTGCTAATATGCTTAGCTGGCATTGGCTGCCAATAGTACGGTAGCGGCTAGTAATTAGTGCCGTCAAGGCATAAAGTATCATTGTCCACTGACCTCTTCAATGTCAGCTGCGAGGACGGTCCAGTTGTCAGCCTCGTGAAGAGCTTCTTTACATGACTGCAGTCGCGTCTTAGCGATATCCAGCCTCTCAAGACTAGCCATAGCTTCCCCTGTGTCTTTCTCCACCTGTTAATCATACAATTTTAATAACTTTTGCAAGCAGAAGACCAACGTTGGGTAAGCATTCACAAGTTGTACGGACTGAGAGAATCGTACATATCCAAAATACTGATTTAACAACAATAAACTAAGTACCGGTATTTATATATCAATTCAGCCTTCATTTATTGGATTTTCTCACAAGGGAACCCAGAAACCCTCAAATCCTCATAATGCTTTTTATACATTGATGGTGTAACTTGATTTTAGGATAGTGGTAAGCGATAGTTTGGTTATGTTGATCAGTGTTCATCGTGCTCACCTTAGCCACCTCCTGTCTAACAGATTGCATTGTATCCCGTAGTGTGACGGCTTCCTGGTGCAACATCTCCGAATCCCTCATGACCCGAGGGAGGCTTTGTAGCACCTAAACAAAGAATTAAAACCTTTTATATCTTTGTAAAAATCCACTTTAAATTTTAAAACTAAGGTTTAAATTACTTATCTAGAAATCTAAAGACTTATAAAATGGAATCGAGCTAATGCAGGTATTGTTATGAACCTCAATCGGGAAAAATTTAACAAATCGCTGAATTTTTTTAGTAAATTTTAGAGCAAGATTGTACATAGGCCTAAACGTAAAAATTATTTTATTTCAATGACAAAAATACAATGGCGTCATACAAAAATATAACTTAAAACTAGTACAAGCATTTTTTTTTGTGCTTAACAATATGATGAGAAATTTAGTGCAAGTTAATGATTAAGATCGGATTGGATGTTACTGGTGAATAATAAGTTTAACCTGTAATTTTTGACTGGGTCAGCACTCAAAGAACTAAGTGTACTAGGCTAAATGTGGCAGCTTAAAAAGCCGAGGTTGTGTTGCTGTCTCAAAAGCTAAAGGTAATATAAAGCAAAGCTGAGATTTTCAGGACAAAAGTAACAACTGTAAGACAAACCTGTTGGCTAGTTTCTTCCAAAGCGTTGTTGACTTGTTGAACATATAATTGAAGTTTCTTCACCATTGTGTTTACGATCACCTAGAATAAAAATTTTAACTTAATTTACCCAAATGATTACACACTAGATAAGAAATTAAACAACTAGAAAATGAATGGTTGTAGGCCTACAAACCATGACATAAGTTAGGCCTCAGTGATGTGTAAATCTACATCATCCCAACAAGATGATAGTTGCATCTTAGTTCCCTTACTTATCTTAAATTCAGGTTTCAGTAAAATACAGCCCATTGTGTTCCCATTTTAATTGGTGATTGATAGAGTTATACAGTTGAACCCAGTTAACCCAACCTTGACTAATCCGAGTCCTCGCTTAATCCGACCGTGCCATCAGCTATCGGTTACAGTGTTATAGCAGTAATATCATTACTATTTCCTGGTCAAGAGGACACATACCGTCTACCGCAATCGCAGCAAAATTCTTGTCCATCCCCCGGGGTCACACAAGAACATCATCGTCTCCCGGAATCGTTGCAAAATATTGAGGGTCTCTCACAGTTGTGGGGACATTCACATCTTCTTCAGAAATTGCGACAAAATCCTAGATATTTTCTGCAGTAACAAAAACATTAGGGTATCAACGTCTGAGACAAATCCCGCGGATATGGAAAACAATATTATTGTCTTCGGCAATCGCGGCAAAATCCTGTTAATGCTGTTCCTAAAAATGTGACCTTTTCACTGATCTGGCCCCGGTCTCGGTCCAGAATGTGACAGATTAGTGAAGTTGTACTGTATAGCCTTGTTATAGCTTAAAATTGGCTGGTTCTTCAGCCATATTTATCAAAAGCCTAATAATTAAGAACGGCTAGACTCAGTTTTAAGCCATATAAAATGCTTCAAAGTTTTCACAGGGTCAAATGGTCAACTTTTAGATCAGCATTAAGATACCAAGCCATTCAACTTTTTTTAAATTTCGGGTGAGGTATGGAGGTCGATATAATTACTTTATTGGACTAGATAGAAATGATCAATTTTAAATAATCTATAAATAGGCCTGTTTCACTCTAAATTAAATTCAACCTTACTTCTGACTAAGTTAGTACTTAAATCTCTTTTACACCATTTAGTATTGACTTATCATAGGAAATCACTTACCGCTTTATTATCTTGCACCTCTTCTGACTGGAAAGTTTTGTTTATCCATTCTTTGGGATCAAAATTGTCATCCGCAAAGGCCGAAATGTCCTTCAAATAAACCAAACAAGTTAAATTATTTAAATTAACTTACAGTCAAAAGGCTAAATAAAAGTAAATAGATTAAAAGTTGAATTTAGGAAATGTTAAATTATTTCATTTATAGTAGGCTATCTAGTAACCAAATTTATATATCAAGTTATTTAAAGAGAGCTTAAAACATAGTGGGCTAATAAAGAACCAACTCATTCTAATAAGTTAACTTACCAGAAGGCTACTGCCCCAGTCTCAGCAAACATGGCCAAGCATAAAAGGCCTAAGCAAGTTTGCAGGTGTTTTAATTTTATCAAAACTAGTTTTTGAACAATGAATTTTACACCTAGACCAACACCCAGGCCTCTAGCCTAAATGCCTAATATTACTCAGATGAGTAACTTTAGACTCTATTCCAAAAGCACGAGTTTACAAGCTACTAGGCAGCTTAAAAAAAACAGCCTGTAAAATAGCCCAGTGTCCATGAGAGCTGCACTTGCTCGAAAGCTATAATTTAAAAATAACTGGAAAAAGTTTACCCAGTCAGCAACTTCTTCACTGGATTTCGAACAAACTATGAATCATAAAATTATCCAAGTGTAACTTAGGCTACTTAAATACTTGCTAGTGCACAGGCCAAATAGGAGTTGTATGTCACACGACAACTTACAGTAGGCCTAGCTTTTTATTTTCTGGAGACAAAACCTACTAACTTAGTTAACTTATATCAAGCACTTTTAATATTTTGGAAATACTTTAGTACTTTATACTTTACTTTTCAATGAAATGGCGACCATACAAGTATGAATGAAGATGAGTGTAGGATGAGTGGCGCGATCTTGTAGTCTAAGTTAGTTAGTTACTAAGGCCGACTTATTCCTTAGACACAGCTGTTAATTAATAGCCCATACAGCTAATGGCAACTAAGGGACCTACAGTTTATAGTCGAATCCGAACCACATTTTTGCCTTGGTATATACGAATTGGTCTAATTTTCAGGATAGTACTACGGATAGTCGTAGTACTCACTCGTGCGGACGTCCACACCAGGGAGTATCGCATCCACAGTGCATGCCTAAATATCCACAATTCGTAACCTCTTAGTACAGTAGCTGGATTACAGGACGACGCCACCCGTCCCAGTTTTGAAAATTTTGAAACCAATAGCCATGAAAGATATAATGCATTAAACAGATGTATTTCTAAGTAAAATAAAATATTTAACAGTTTTATAGACCCTAAAAGGAAAAATCGGTAAATCAATTTAAACCATCCCCCCCAAAAAAACATTAGGGTAACTTAGGCCTAACTTATCTATTTTAGTAGGTAGGCATCTTTTTAATTTTCTTCAAAAGCTAAGTAAGGTCTTGTAGAAACTGATAAATAGGTAAGTTTACCGTATGTAGTCTATTTATCTAATGTGTTTTTCAAACTTACATAACAGTTAAGAGTTAACAAGAACATTTACTATAGTTCATTTATTGTTGATTGAGGTTATGTTACGTGGAGCATAGTTATCCTAATTATTTACGTAACTCAACTCACCATAGTTTTACTTGTCCAATAAAGATTATTTGAATATTAACAATTGATTACATTCCTTACTTAAAATATCAGTTTCATAGTTCAAACATTTCTTTTAATAAACCCGAATTACCTAACCACGTAAACAAACTTATTATTTAGAGAAGCAGAAGAGAAGGTGCAGCGAACGTAAACGTAAACACTAAACAAAAACAAAACTAAACCACTGTACACTGACTGACAGCGACAGCAGACAGATCTCACACAGCTGACAGTGACAGTTGATTTTTTTGCTTCTTTTAAGATAAATTTTCTTACTCTTTGCTTATCACTAAAACACATAAAGTAATGCGTAAAAAGAAAGTGCTATATTTTGAAGTCTCTAGATGCTACTTGATGACCAAATTATGTAAATCACAAAAAAAAAACTTTGAATAAAGTGGTTGAACTCATGGTGGAAGGAAAAAACATAGGTGTGCTATTCCCACATATTCTGACGTCACTCGGATTGCAAACAAAAGATCACCTGATTGTAACTGTCAAATTAGTATGTATTTGTTTTGATTTGACTGTTATTGTTTTTGTAATAATAAAAACAATAACAACCAAATCAAAACAAATACATATACTAATTTGACAGTTACAATCAGGTGATCTTTTGTTTGCAATCCGAGTGACGACAGAATATTTGGGAATAGCACACCTATGTTTTTTCCTTCCACCATGGGTTGAACTAGTCAAGTTGAATGCAGAGCTAAGAACTCATTTTTCTTAAAGATTATTGGAATAGGTTAATTAATCCTCTTGGCTTTTAATGTTTTCTTAAGAGGAATATGTCATATGTTTTCTAGTAACTTTCATACCTTTGATCTAAATTTCAGTAAGCAAGTAAGCTCAGATTAATATACATACAACATTGTTTATGTTCAATGCTACAACATAGGACGAACTTTCATTGAATATCACCATAGCCTTCTATATTACTTGATTCTATATTACAAATCCAATAACTCCTATCATCAAGGCAGTGTATTTCTCTGTTGCTTGGAAACCATTGTTGAGTTTTAGCATCATAGGGTAGGTACCTACATCACTAAGATATCCTATGAGATAAATAAAAAAAGTAAGTTAAAACTCCCTTATATTAAGTGTAAAATGCAAAAATTGTTCCAATCCACTTTGAAATAAATATTTGTTGCACATTATATATACATTTAACATTATATGACATTTTATATACAAAAAAGTTAATCTATGTTAATGATGGTGGTAGGAAAAATATTGTGTGTATTAGGAGCACAAACAGTCATTGGCTCTCAAGTGTATGGTCACACTCAGCTGAAGCTTTGTGCAGCCATGTACAGTAGAGGCTAAGAAGTACTTTGTGCACTTTAATACACAAATAGCTATTGTAGTAAATCAGCTAATTATTTAAAGACTAGTTAATTGATAAAAATTATTGGCTTTAACATAAGTACAATTATTATGGAAGGCGATTTCTACAAAACACTTGTCCTCCATTAATAATGGACGGATTTTTACAAACGATGTGGCAAAATTAAGTATTTTTTGTGTAGACCAATTCACCAATTCATGTAATAAAAGTCCTCGGGCTTTGACCCACAGGTCATCAAAATCACAATGTATTTCTTATTAAGAAAATATTTTGTTTTAAACATACGAATCATTTGTATTAATTACAGCTGTCCATAAACATGATACACACAAGAGCGTTCGTTTTCAGTTTCGATAACTGGAGTGATTGATTACATTATCTTTGAGTTGACTCTTTTAAGACATAGGAAATTATTATGATTGTTATTGGTTTTGAAATAACGCCTGTAATACTTTCCGATTGCTCCAATTTGAGCAACAGGTGCACTAGTTTTACTTATTCCTTTAGTTATTCCTATAGTTTTACTTATTATTGGTATTTACTTATTTGGTTTTACTTATTATTTATTATTATTAGTTTAATTTATTTTTGTATAAGAATAACAAGGTTAATGAAAAAATGTATTTATTTTGATCAGGTCAATCCATTTCCAGAAAATGGCTTCAGAGGGTACAACCAAACGCAAGGAGACAGTTCCGAAAAAACAATATCTATATGATATGGTTAAATGTGATGGACAATTGTAAGTAAAGTAAATATTGAAATTTTTACTATCTACTTAAAAAGCCTGCTGAAGATACAGTTATTCGTTATTGGTATTGTACTATGTGAAATTCTAGCCACTTTTAAAACTTAATAAGTACTTTCAGTAATCTTATGCTGCACTGTTTTTTCTTTGTTACGTTACTTGATTTTAAACAACCCTGTTTATATAAGTAAGATTGGATAGAAGAAAAAAAAACATGAATTGAGAGCAAACTGTGCAAAATTACACATTCCTTCTGATACATCAATGTAAAAATCAGTTGATGTAGTTTTATTTTCAAACGCATACTATTCAGAGGTTGTCATATAGGCCCTACTGTAAAAGTAAACATTCATTCTTTTCCAGCAAGGAGATGATCACGATGCAGGAGTTAGCAAGGGACGAGTGGGAAACCAAATGGGGGTTTCTAAAAAGAGAACATATACTGAAGGTATAAAATCAATAATAATGCTTAACCTCACATAATGATATTTAATACAAAACACCCAAGCCGCTATTAACCCGGCTTGAGTGTTTACAGATGATTTTAAAATTTGTAAGTGTTAGATTACAATAAAAACCACTTGAATCAACCATTAAACTTTGTGGATGACTGACAGATCTACGAAGAATTGTCTGAGGAACTCGACCTATCAAGAGATTTCATGGTCAACAGAAGAGCCAAGAAGACATTCTCGCCGGAGTACATAGTAAAACAACCGATGGTTCGGTCACCACCGGTCCCGACTCTCACTTCAGGTTGGTGAAAACCAATTAACCTATCAGTGCGATCGTTATTACATAAATAGTAGACAGTAGACACACATTTTGGTTCACACTTTGCATCTATGACTCATAAATTCACATTGCCTTTCTCGTAAAGGAAAAAAAGTTATCACAGCCTCTTGTGTGTTTTGAGTTGTTTGGTACATGCAGATGTATGCAATTCTTGTTTACTGTTTAGTTTAGAAAAGTACTGCAGATTATTTATTTGTTCCACATGAAGTGAGGTTTAAAGAGTATTCATTCACTTTTGTACAACTTCTGATGATTTTGACTTTTTTAGTTTAAAATAGGATCCATTTCTGGAATATTTGAACAAAATAGAGTTTACTGTACCAATTAAACATAGGGTAAATATCACAAAAAAAAGCTTATGAAGAAAAATTGTTGTAAAGAGTAGGTTCAAACAAAACTAGGGGAGTAATCAATCAAAGAGGCAAAGTTTGATAAAAATATATTTACAAAACAAAATGCTGTGCACTGAAAACAACCTCATTATTCACAGGACATACAAAATAGCACAAATACGAGTAACATAAAAGGAGCATTACAGGTTGAATAAATTGATTTTGACAGTTTTATGGCTCAATTGTGGTATAGCAATTGAAGATAAGGGAAGTAAAAAAAATTCTTTTTCAACTAATCAGAGCTGAGATTTTAAAATATTTTGGATCCCACACATTGATTCCAATCAGTCTGGTTAATTCAAATATCTATGGTCTAACCAATATTGTTTTGCAACCTGAATCAGTAACAGAGATTTCAAATTGTTTACACTCTTTATAAAGCATTACATATATTAATTATTTACTTGAAGTAGTTTAGAAGTAGTTAAATCTAGTGTTGGATATAAACCATTAACTTAAGATTTTGGGTATTAATTTTCATAATTGTAGCGCATGTTGATTTTGATAGGTTTGTTTGAAGTACAGTAATACTAGGGTGTGTTATTTAAACCATTAGATACAATCACATTTAGGACTAATTTTCCGTACTCATTAAAAAGGATACGTTTTTTAATTTGGGATCAACTTTTTCCTTACAAACTTTGAAGGAAACCCAAAATATAATAATCAATATTTTCTCCTGATTTAAATAGTTAAAAATTATAAAAACTGAATCCAATAGCTAACATTAGCACACTGTAGTAATACCATACTTCAAAAACTTGCAATAGTAAAGTATTTATTTGTAAGAAGTTGTGAATGTGGTGTCAGGTATGGTCGGCTGGCGTTCGTCAGACAGCCGTTGCTCTCTAGAGATCGTTGGTCCATTGTATGTTTCACCGACCTCCACCATCGACCCACCACGGAGAGAACAAGATCTGCCTCTTCATCAAACGCACATACATCTCGGCTGAAACTCGCATCTATAACATAGCACACAGACTGTCTTAACATTACAGCAGAAATGAGCTTCACTTATTTTATGTATAGATTGCTCTTAAATTAAGGTCTCCATTAAACTAATGTTGCGTGAAGGGAATGAGAAAGCTAGCCCTGGCCAGGAGGGATGCGGATGAACAGCTTACAAGGTCAGAACCCTACTGTGGTGCCCTGATTAGTTTAGGAGCTTAAGTCCGAGCCTGAATAAAGGTCCATATGGCAGGGTTGCCACCAGCCATGTAAACCTTGAATTATGCATGAACTTTTGTGACCATGAAAAAATGCATGGACTATGCATGAATTGGACCACAAGTTTTTGAAAACCATGAATAATGATTCACTACTAAATTTGCTATATAAAAAATAAATCACATTTAAAAACAGTACGATTGTACGAAAACAAAGAAAACGATCAGAAATAATTGCTTAGATCATTCGAGGTCAGATGCTGATGTCAGCTGAGTCTTCTCATGGACTGTAGGCCTATGTAGTTCAAAAAATCTATCTAATTTTAATAGGCTACATTATTTAATATCAACCGGAATAATACAAGATTTTTCATGGGGGGGATAAAACAGAATTTCCTTGGCCGGGTGAGCGGGATCTTTGTTTTATTTGTGTGGAAAGATTGAGTTAGGCATAATTTAATTCTTCTCCAATTTTTCATTTGGAATAGCTCGCCTTGTTGTGTTTTTAATTTTGTTTTAAAAGTATAAATCACACAAATAGTAGAATTTTTTGTATGAAAAGTTGTTCTATACCAACACACAAAGAAACATGACTGTTAAACGTACCTTTCTGAAATCAGCAAAACTTATATTTGCGCTGAAGTTATAAGCAAATATAAGGTACATAATTATAGGAGCGCATCAACCATATTTTTTTTATTTATTTACCAACGAAAGCCATGAATTCTGCATGCTTTTTTTCGTCCCACTATGGTGGCAGCCCTTAGATGGCAGAGGCCTGGAGCACCAACCCAGGACTAAGGACGACAAAAACACAAGTAGACCCCTCAAGGAAGGATTGGAAAGTCCTATTGAGCCTAAAAAAGGGGGACATCAGACTACTAGTGGGGATGCTAACTGGGCACGACCCCATTAGGAAACACCTTAGAACCATTGAAAGGTCAGACAGACCAATGCGCAAAAATGAGGTGGACACCTGTGAACACTTGTGGCTGGACTGTCTGGCCTTCGTCCTAAAAAGGTTAAAATCTCTAGGAATTCTGCCACTCAACCCTGCGGAGATGAGAAGAATGGGCGTCTCACAGTTTCTAGACTAAGCCAAAAGCCTAGGACTGTCAGACTGAGCAACAGATCAAAGTACCCCTACCCCTCCCCTGACAAAGTAAAAAAAACACCTGTCCCAGCCAAGTGGACTAATTCAAATCGCGGCAACGTAAATTTTCTTTCTTAACGTTTTCAAATACTTTGGCTAACCAGGGAAGCCAGTAGAACAGTAGTGGATGAAGTGAGAAGCAAGATTTGTACTAGCTTGTACCCTAGCTTGGCTGAGACGGGACCATGATGGAGACCTTAATTTACGGACAACATTTGTAATAGCCTAGTCAAACGATGTTCATCTTTATTTGTAAAGCTCCTTTGTCACATTTATCTAAAAATATAATACAGTTTTTAAATTGTGTAAAACTGTGAAGATTTTGGTTATTTTTACTTAGTGTGAAAACCAAAACGAGTCTTACCTCGATTTCTGTCAGTGTTGCCTAAGATGGCAATTTACTCTACCTACACCTGAAAACTAGAGCACTGAGACTCCTTTTGTATGCCTATTTCTGTGTTCACAAAATTTTGAGAACTTAATGCTATTTGAATCTTTATTCATAAAGGTAAGGAATGTGGTGCGGTCCCAATTCATTCGGATAGTTGTAGTTGCACTGTACTCCCAATAGTTTCTTGGGTATGAATGGCCTTAGGAGAGAGTGACTTACATCCACTACATGGCTCCAAAGTGCTTCTGCTTCAGAGGGGCTGGCAGTTTTTCCATCAAAGACAGAGGGTTGATCTCTACTGCCACCATCTCTCCTTCTCCCAGGCAACCAAAGTACACGAGATGCTGCAGACACAAACTTGGTTAATCACCAATATTAAGCAGTTATTCACAAGTGTACTGTGCGGTTTATCACATTTTCATTTATTAATCAATTTAGTTTCCCCGGTGAAAAATAATTCAGATTAAAATTGGCAACGATTCTACCTTTGTTCAGATTACTCAAATCATCAGTCAGTACAATATTATATCAACCCAGCAGATGCACAGGCAAAATTTTGTTTATGTCTGGATTCCAAAGATCTTAAATATCCCAATATCATGTGATTTGATTTACACACTAAGCACTACCTTGTACTTCTTGATGACATGGAAGGCGTGTTGAGGTGTGTTGCTGGGAGGGTACTGGTTACTGTTGTCTCCAGGGTCTAGTCCATTGGAGTGTGACAACTCCAGTCGAGGGATCTTGGCCTCGGTCGAGGGTAGAGTCTACATGCAAATAGAGAACAGTGTGTTACTAACACATAGCATAGGTTGTAAGAGAATAGGATTAATAAAATTGCCACTTAGTTTTACAAAATCTTCTGAGTAGTTTTAATCATCTGTGAAATTAAATTAATTAAAAAAAAGGCAAAGAAAGATAGTTATTCTTTTTGTTGCCAGATAGACTAATCAATATTTACCTCCTAAAGCTCCAAATGATAACTTTGAAAGCCTAAGACGCAAAATCCTAGGTTGATTTTTTAAATGGATTCAGGCCTATAATTAAAGTAATCTTTACGGCAGAAGTTATTTTAGTGTGCAATTTTGGCTAGCGGACTTCAGTGGAAAAACAGACGTACACCTAATTTTAAATTTATTAGGCCTACCTTAAAAAATGTAGGAACTTTTTCACCATTAATTTTGGATTTAACAGTTTCTTTTTTCATCCAAATTTTTTCCTTGAGTCTTAGACATTAACTCTGCCATAGCGACCAATTGGCTTATCGACAATGCAGGTATTTTAAACCACTTAACACGTTCAGTGCGGCATACCTTCAAACAGGCGCTCGATAATGGCGGCGAGGCCCGGGCGAAGCCCCGCAGCGCAACTGAATCGGTAAACGCAATTGGCATTCAAATATTTCAGTCTGACGAATAAAAAAAGAGCAGCGGTGATTGTGCTGTGCTAGCCCGAGAGTGGACGTAGTTCACTGAAACACCCAAAGGTAGCAGCACTGCCTGGATTCGTAGCCAGTGTCTTTGTAAAGTGGCTTGAAAAGAGAAAATTGCCGGAACCGGGACAAAAGTATTGCTAGACGGGATTTTACGGGAAATTTTAGTACCAACCTACACCAGACTAAAGCTTAAATAATCTAAGCTACAGGCTGGCAACGATTATAACATTTCCCGGCAATGGCTGAGCTCACACTAAACTAATGTGGAGAGAGTGGCATGACGTCAGCTTTAGCTGATGTCCGCCACCAGTGCTCCGCACTTAACGTGTTAAACCATTATTTAATACAAACTACTGTGCTAACAGGATGTAGGATGTATAGGTTCCTGTTGTGACAGTAAGGAATCCCCCTTTGAATTAGTGTTTTGCCTATGAAACTTTGACTTACTGCATGTTCCAAATCGGCCTGCCTCTGCTAGCACATTGAAATGCCGCGTGTACCAAAATGCATGGTGAAACTTTGAAATATAAAGAGATTCTCCACGGACTGAGCTTTTATTTTGACGTTATCAAGTGTTTGAATTACCAAGAGTAGTGTGTACGATGAAACACTAGGAATACCTTGCACTTGTCAATAACACAGATGGTGGAGTCGTCATGCAGGAGGATGATGTCTTTGTTGGCAGGATCAAACACCACGTTGGACACCGTGAAGCTTCGCCCCAACCACTGTTTGGGGTGGTTGTCACTCAACCCTCTTGAGAACTTTGTGTACTTCTTCCTCTCCAGTGAAAACTCGACAATCTGAAAAATGTTTCAGCTTTTAGAGACAAAGCGCTATCTAATTCAAAAGTATTTTATGTGTAAAAAATGAGCTGTATCAGCTTTTTATTCTAAATTTTTTTTGAACCCCATTGAAACCCATTGCTTGGTGAAGTAATAAGTGAGTATTGAATTTAAACTGTTTTCAAAAATTAAAACAATGAAAAATGTCATGCGGTTAACAACATATGGTCAACAAAGTACTTGAGGAAAACTTTAAAACTTTTAACTGCTATTGTTTACTTTCTGCAGACGGCTGTTCTAGATTGCAGCCAACCTAAAATGTGTTATTTCTTTCCATTTTCTACATAACTGCGGATCATTCATACATTTAAATCTATTGGTTATTTCAAATATTCATTTCAACAAATCATACATTATTTGCTATTTATTTTATCTAAACAGAAACAATGGTAGATAGCAAAATTATTGTATTCACACTTATAATGAAAAAAGATAATATTTAGGACTAACCTTGTGGTCACAGTAGACGACCACCAGATGATTGGTGATTGGTTGGATAGCCATCGCTGTCGGTGCACAGTGATACCTCGGCAGCGTGCAGTAGTGCTGCAACATCAACCAACTGTTACGTCACATGAGGTAATTGGAAGAGAGAAGAGAGGCATCATAATGTTAGAGGAAGGGTTAGATTGTTAGGGCATGTGGGTATAACCGATGAGCTAGTATATTACAAGTCCAATCATTGGACTCTTTATTAATCAATGTTATAGAGTGAGCTTCAAGATTTACAGTGACAGACTTTGTTGATTCTAAAGAAAGATTCTATTGATGATTACACTAAAACTTCAGTCCTCAGTTCAACAACAAGTAACGTACCTTTCCGTTTGACCAGACGACAATATTCGCTCGTCTGTCGGCTGCTATGATGTATTGGTTGTCAACGGAGATGCAGATGAGGTGAACAACATCCGACATAACTGAAACATTAAAAAAAGTATCATAAAAGAGTTCTCACTTTGCATGCAAATTTAAAGTAGAAAAATTAACCATTCACAGCGGTTTGATAAGCTTTCCTCGTCATGCATAAAAACTCACTGCTACAGTTTGACGAGATCTGCTTGTCATGGCGGCAGGGTTGCGACATTCAAAACAGTGAACTATTTCAAACTAGTACTGTAAAAAACACATTGTCGATAACGCCTTTAGTTCAAAACAAAATTAAGAAAGAAATATGTTCATAGAATTATTACTATTTTAAAGAAAAATAAGTTTCAGTTATTTATATTGGGCTTGATATGAGACAAAACTAATGTAGCAGAGTCCGGCGGCATTGAAAAAATTGTGCCAAAACTGGACCAAGCTGTTCTTAACCACTACACTAGCTGTTCATCCTACACTAATATTTGATTAAAATATGCATCTAAGTGACGTCCTCATCTCAAATGATAATATAAACGTAATAATAGTGAAACATGACGTTTTTCAAAAAGATATTGTAAAGTTTTGCTGAAATTTGTCATGATGAGATAGCTCATATTCCTCATTGTCTTTGAAGAAAGTCATTTTGGGCTCTGTCCCAGTGGCACTGGAGTTTCCCATGTTTACCTTATGGGTATTCATATTTAAAAGGAATCAAAGAATATTGACAGCCATTTCAACAACAAATAAATTGGGTTCTATGAAGTTCAATAGCATCAAAAAGTTATAAGGTTCAACAACAGAGTGCAGCACTAATATTCATTTGGTTCTTCACATTAGGAAGCAATGGTACAGCAGCTTGTATACTGTATTTATATTTGTCAAATATATAAAAATATTTGCATTTGAACGGATGGTGTTTTTGGCCTCTGGGGACCACAAAATGAAAAAGTTAGTCAGTCTCAAGGCTAGGTCTTACGTTGAAACCTACGGCAATAGCTTATTCTTTACATAGGAAATTTTCTTATAGACAGAAAATTTGCTAAAAACTTAAAAATAATCGAACTAACGGTTATCAGTGAGAGGGGCGAAGGTGTGAGTAAGTGTCGGCCCGGCATCCAAGCTCAGCTCAAACACTAACAGGTTGTTGTGGTTGGTTGCGCACACCAGCCAGCCGCAGTCCGGTGAGAACTGAGCGCAGTGGACTGCGTTGCACTCGGCACTCAAACCACTCACTCTGGACAACCGCGGCTCCTTGGGCTCCTGGAAAATACACAAGAACTGTCAGCGGAATTTCTCACAACACAACACAATCTGAGTAGGTATTGTCAAGTTGAAATCTTAAGAGTCAAATTGTAGCTTTTTTCCGAAGATGTATGGCTGCAACCATAGCCTAACAAAAGGCTGCAGCGAGCAATGTGGCAACGTCACACTAGCTGGCCTATTGCCATGGTAATAACAAAAGTGTTAATGAAAAAATTGCGCAGACGCTCCATATGAATTAGCGCTACAGCTGTTTCCAATAGGCCGGAACTGCAGCGTTGCCACTTTTGTCTCGCTGCATCTTCGATTTAAGGAGGCTATGCTGTGACGCAGCCATTTTTTCAGTATTTTTGTCAGTTTATCCACACTTAGACCTGAAGTCTATGATTCAGCAGTATACCAATTATCAATCATTTAGATCCTCTGATAGTAGAAGCCCACCATCTGGTTTTGGACTCAAGTACTCAAGATGATTGTGTAATTTTTTTCTGATTAGATTTTTAAGACAAAAAAACTGTTACTTACCTCTAACTTAATATCAATTAGCTACACAATTTATCACAAGCCTGACATACCGTATCCAAGTCTAACGAGTAGAGTCTGAACAGAGTATCAGTCGAGTAGGCAATCCACTTCGCATCACTTGATACAGCGGCGCACCTGATATGTTGGCTGTCCTTGCTGAGCAGTTGTACCAACTTAACAGCATCCTGGGCCAGAGGCAGAGAGTGTTGAGTGTTGGCAGGTTGGCTAACCTGAGTGCACCCTAGTCGCCATAACTCTAAGTACGTTGTGTACCTCAAAAGGAGACATCTCGCCTCGGGGGCTAAGTACACACACGGCGACTGCAAAGTGAAAATTTAACAGTAAGAAGTTGTACTATTGATTGTATAGCAAAGAGAATGGAGAATCATGATATTATAATCATGAGAAGTATAAAAGCTTGAAAAATGTAATAAAGGGTTTTTAAGTAAGAAATGGGATGAAGTTAAGAAAGAAGATATAAGAAGGGGGATAGCGATAGGCCTAATTGAAGATAAGAGGGAGAGGGTAAAAATCAAGACGGAGATAGAAAGATGGTTTGTGTTAAGATTTATGACTAAATAAGTTAATCAATATAAAATATGGTTACTTATATTTTGTCAGTTCGTCCTTTCCTTTGTTACTTCAATTGATGTTAAGTTGATATATGAGTTGTTGAATTGCAATGTTCTTATGTGGCACTATAATCAATGTTTTTTTAAATAAAATTAGGGATGGTCAAGTCTCGAAATTTCGGGAAATTTTCGGGAAATTTTCAATCTCGTTATACGAGACGAGATTACTTTTTGGCCGAGATTTTTATCGAGACGAGAATAAAAAAAAAAATAAAAACGCTTGCAGAAAGTCAATGCAATACCCGCAATACAGGAGCGTGTTGTAGTTGCGTTTCCTTTTCGAAGGCGTTCTTATTTAATTAATTCTTTTAATGTAAATATTACTTAATTCTTTTAATGTAAATATTACTTTCATTATTTTAATAATATTACTTTAATAACATTTGAGAAGTTTTGTTAAGTGTAAGCAGTGTGAGGAATGTTTTATTACTATAAAAAAGTCAAAACAAGTAACTATTTTATAAAAATTAATATTGCTTTTATTTTATGATTTATTTTATTTTAGGATAAGTTGAACGCTATCCTAACTGATATCACCATGTTTCCTAATCGTAGGCATTTTTAATAAGTTAGGCGTGATTAATAAAAAAATGTTATGCTGATGTTATTTAATGAAAGATTGTAAATATTCTTGCCTATTATCATTATTTTAGTATTTAAACAGTCATCTAACAATGTTACAAAATCAGGTAAAAATTTTGAACGTGCATTTCCCGTTGTGTATGAGAAGAGAAATCTCGTCTCGATCTCGTCTCAAAATTTTATGAGAAATAAAAAATCTCGTCTCGTCTCGAACTAAAAATCCAATCTCGTCCATCCCTAAATAAAATTAAATATTTTTTTGTTCTTTCATGCAGAGCCATATTTACTTAAGAAAAAAATAATCTACATGTTCGAACATGTTGTCGCTTGCAAGACGAGGGGAGTGTAGGACTGTTCAAAATTTTAAATAGTAAAACAATTATTTTGGCATTCAAGCTCAGCTAAACATGTAAACTACAACAGTTTATTAAAGTTTTTGTAATTTTCTCTGCATCCATTAGACATACAATAACGAACGGTTTAATCTAAATAAATAATTTGTTTTTATGAGCTCAACAAAAGAAAGAACAAAACTTCTTTCTACTGTACACTGTTTGTGTGTACTGTGTTTTTTCTGTCTGTTTCTTCTTTTTTCTGTACTGTACTTAGAAACTGTGAAATTTTATATCTTGGGGGTAAAAATGGGAAAAACACAATTTTCAACCCATTAAACCCCGTTCCTCATTGTACGCAAAACTGGTTGAATCAACGTAGAACGTAGGTTTACATGTTTATATCAAATTTCATCAAAATTTGATTTTTTTTACTAAAGTTATCATGTCAATAGAGATTTCATATGAATTGGAACAGATGGTGTTTTTGGTCTCTGGGAACATCAAAGCAAACAGTTAATTTGTCCAGGGTTTAGGTCTTTCTATGAGACCTAGGGTAATAGCTTATTCCCGTACAGGAATACTCGTAAGCTAGGGAAATTCGCTCATCTGAAAGTAGAAAAGCTAGTTTTAATTACCAACCTGTAATAATGGAGGATATCTTAGGTGAACTTTGGGCGGGTAGCTGCTCAATGCTAGATAACCGTCCACCCCTGTAACAGGCGAGAGAATAAGATTAACAGCTGTTATGCTCTAAGAAAGAGTGACACTTACATAATGTAATAATTACTTTACTAAACTAAAGTTGTTAGCATGATGTATTTTATGTCAACTTCACAAGAAAACAACTACCAAAAACTATGATTTCAAACAGCTAAGTAATTTTGTTGTAAAAAAATGTCTGGTCTTTTTGATTTTTCATAACTGTTCCTAATTTGGGTTGGTGGAAAACTATGGCATAAACTATTTTTTTAAACAGAAAACCCATAATCTAGAACACCTCAAAATTTAAACTAGCAACTTATGTGACCAAAAGTTGCTTAAGACTAAGCTATGTGACTGGATGCTATTTTGAAATTAATTTTAGTTAGCAACATTAAGTGATCAACTACATTTATTGTTTGTGTATCATAGTGGTTATAGTCCTAGCGTTTAAGTCTGAAAGTTGCTGTTTCGATTTAAAAAGCAATATCAGTTGCCGATTTGTCGTTGAGCTATCAAAAGGTCGAGGCAGCATCTGTTACTACATGAACAGAGTTTTAACTGTTCCTTAAAAAAAACATAAAAAAATGCCAATGTCATGGTTAAAAATAAAATTAATGCGAAAAACACTTTATTTACCTCCTGAGAAGAGTCGGCCATGACAGTAGGCCAGAGCTCGGACGTCATGGTCATGTATTCTCCGCTGAATGGATCTCACCCATTTGACTCCGTCCTTCATTTGTATCTTCTCAAACGTGGCGATCAGTGGGTCAACACCTGCACGATTCAACAGTTCAATATCAAAGAAACGGTAAAGAGTATGACATATTACAAGCCTAGGTTTTAAGGATTTCAAAGGATAGCAGGCTGAATTGTAAAAACCACTGGCACAAAAACACCAAAATTCTACCATAATAAGAATATTCCACTGCATGTGAGAGCAATTCCAAATAAGGGAAGTTTCAAAATAAAACCGTTAGAGATCAATTGTACCGTATTACAGTCATGATGATAAAGAACAATGCAATAAAAGATTAGAATTGATTTATTTGTTATTATTAGCAAGAGTTTTGCCAAAACAATTCTTTCTTGTTGCACATGGGAAACTCCAATCTCAAAAATCAGGAAGGAAATACCAATACTGACCAGCCCAAAGTATATGGACCCCTAAGAGAATATAAATTAAACAATATTACCGAGCCCACTCACCTGCAGCGTACACTGTGGTTTGTTGATCGTCCAAGCAGACACTCAACACATCAGCCTTGTGGCTCTGATGACTGGCTATGTTGGTACCAGTGCTGCCATCCCACATGCTCAGCTTGCCTCTAGAGTCTCCAGTGATGATCGTAAAGTCATCAGTGACAGTGACACACCACACGATGGTCGGTCTGTTGGTCATTGCTCGTCCTGTGGTCATCTTGTGTATGGCATGTCCTGTCTTGACGTTCCATATCCTGACAGCATCCTCTGAGCCCGTCACAATCCTCTCTCCTGTTGCGTCCCAAGCCAAGCACATAATGCGACCTGTTGGGTAAAATATCTCATTGAAGATAACCTTTTATGTGTTTCTATTAGTCCCTGTACTCAGTTGAAAAAGCACTTCAAAAGTATACTTCAATACTTCAGTACACAAAAGTATAGTTTAAAATCAACTTTCTCAGGTCTGCAAAAGAAAAGTAAGATACAGAGGAAACACTCAATGTTACACTAAGTGGTGTCTAGCACTAGTCCCTGGTGTCTAGGGCAAAGTCCAACATCACCCCCTCGCCCTCGCCCTCATGTACTACAGCGCTCATGGTGGGACACGCACCCTGTGCAATAAGCGCGTTTCCTCTGTACCTTACTTGGAGCTAAGCTTGATCCCTTAAAAAAATTTATGTGGAAGCGTATAATTCAACTATTGATACAAATTTATCATAACTCTTTAAGTTTATTCGTAAGTTAAATAAAATCATCAAGCTATTATAGGCCTAGCTTATTTGATCTCTTTTCATCTACTGAACTTTTTAAGTCTTGCAACAAGTCTACTAGAATCCAAGGACTTGCCCTTAAATCATGGTTCTATGTTTTTAGTAACCTTTTTAAGTACAGTTTAGGCCAACTGTTTAGGCTAAATTTTGTCCAAGAGGAAAATAATATTTGTCAAAACTCATGACCTCCCTAAACTTTGAATATGTACAATTTTGCTTAAAAATACCAGAAATCATCTTTTACGATAAACAAAATATGTTTTTTTTACATATACACTTCATAGTTTGTCACCATACATCAATAGGGGCCTGTGAATTATAAATCTGGCCCTAACTATGCACTACTGATCTATGCAAGAGTAAAGTCACACTGCAGTGATAAGGCCATGCAGATAGTCGGTGTAAAGTAAAACCAGCTGTCTGGCTTACCAGCTCAAAAGATTTCCATGAGCTATGACGCTACCAACCTATATGCTGTAATTTAAACAGCTGAACCACAAATCTGTCCACAATTTTGTATCATACTGATCTTCAATCACATTCAGTGAACTGTCTCCAACACTTACCTTCTTGTTTGTCTAAAATCTTTTCATAGAGTAAACTGTCGTCCATGACTTGAAACAGGTTGATATAGCCATCTTCAGTTCCAGCCTAGAAGTAATATTGTCGAATAATTATTTGATATTATCATTAGTAACTAAATACTCATTGAAAAACATTTAATTATTCATTGGTTATAGAATTAAAGGACCTAAACAGCAGTTCAGACACAACTTATTTAGTTTATTAGTTTATTATATATAAACTTGTTAGTTTATCAATAGATTTTTATGCCCTCTGCTCTTTAGTCTATTTATTTACTTATTTACTTATTTATTTATTATTTATTATTATTTATTTATTTATTAGGTATTTATTTATTTGTACACGGATACACTATTAACAGGACAATTTCTGTGTGACAACTAACTATTTCAGTACATAAGTAATGAAAAAGACCGGAGACAACAAGATTTCATGAACAAGACATAATAAAAATAACCTCAAAATTCACTATAACTAGCAGGAAAAAAATACTATAGATTCTGAGCCTATTCAAAAATGTAAGGTCAGTTTGCAAATCTACACGCTTAGAACACCTTATTCTACCCCATTTTACAACTAAAAACCGTGATAATTCAGCAGTTTTTAGTATAATCAAGATATTTTTTTTCTAAAATGAGTCTCTTCTACCTTAAGATACATAACTAAGTTTCATGAAGATCAGTTGAGAAAATTCAAAGATAAAATTGTTTAACTTATATGTAAAAAGTACAAAATGGCAAATAAAATATCTGGTTAACCAAACGATTTTGGAAAAATGTTAATCTCGATTTTCTCTTTATTTTGACCCATGGAATCACTGCGTAAATTATATCCCCACCTTTATTGAACAACCTGTATAACTGGGAGACGAGTTATTGTAAATTACTATTTCTTTTTATTTGGTTAAACGAGGTTTTAAATTGAAATAACAAGAAACAATTTGTAAACAAAAACAAGATCTTAGCGGCACTTGGCAGAACTTAATGAAGTTGTCTCCAACAGGTCCACAAGGATGACAAATTTACCAAGGGACCTGTTTTATCTATGTTAGTACTGAGAAATCAAGTTTATAAAAACACCGCTTCTTCAATATTAAAAGTCTAGTAGCTAGTTTTATTAGTTAAGAAACTCACCGCAATCATACCATCTTTATTGTTTAGAGCCATGCACCAACAGGGTCCAGACGTTACTGGTACGTTGTACTGGAACACACATCATTTATATATAGATATAGATTTATTTACAAGGATATATTTAGTGTTTGTAGTGTGTTAGTGTCAAAATACAAGGGCTATCCAGAAAGTAGATTACGTTTTTGTCTGTATCCGCTAGGGACGGGGCTAGCGCGACCATCTTGGTGTTAGTTCGTTATGCAGCTCAGTCGGCATCTAGCCGTGCTAGTAAGAGGTTTCTACTGTCCTCCGTTGAGTTACTGTGACAGCTTAAAATTTCTGTGTTAACTGAAAATGCTGCAAACTGTGAAGTACGTGCAGTTATAAGGTTTTTGACTGCAACTGATAGAAATCTATCGGCAACTTTGTGAAGTTTATGAGGAAAACATTATTATTGAAGGTGGAGTACATCAGTGGGTCATCAAATTTAAAAATGGCTGAACTAACGTTCACGACGAAGAACGAAGTGGAAGACCCATCATTGTGACTGCCGAACATGTTGAAAAAGTCAATGCCGATGTCCGTAATACTCGAAAGCTCACTATGGGTTTTGCACGAGATCATAACGGAAAAGCTTGGTTACCAAACTGACAAACTGTAACCAAAGAGTCCATTCATTTTTTTTTTTTGCACGCACTTCATAGTTTTGCAGCATTTTCAATTAACACAGACATTTTAAACTGTCACAATAACTCAACGGAGTAGGCTATAGCAGAAACCTCTTACTAGCACGGCTAGATGCCAACTGAGCTGCATAACGAACAAACACCAAGATGGTCGCACTAGACCTGCCCCTAAGCAGATACAGACAAAAACGTTATCTGCTTTCTGGATAGCCCTCGTATTTCATAATTTCATACATAAATTAAAGTTAATTTAATTTGTAAGAGAAAGCTTTGTGTAAAGCCTGGAAGAGAACCTTTATACCTCCCCGTTTAAGTTAGCTCAACTTAAAGTTAATTTAATTTGTAAGAGAAAGCTTTGTGTAAAGCCTTGAAGAGAACCTTTATACCTCCCCGTTTAAGTTAGCTCGACTTAAAGCTAATTTAGTTTTATATAGGCCTACCTAACCATTGTTATCTAATAGATTATTAAATTGGATAGCAATCTAAGATACTTAGTTGTGGGTTCTAGGTATTATAGGTCTTATTTTAGGTTAGGTTAGTTATTTTTGACACCATTCTGAATAGAAAAACTCACAAATAAAGAAATTTGTTTTGATTTGTCTCTTTAATCTTGTAGTTTTCTTCTCTTCTACGAAAATGCCTTTTTCAAATGCCGGTAGGAAATATTGAAATGAAATGAAATGAAATTAAAAAATCCTTCTTTATTGAGGCGAACTTAGGACCTCATGGTCCTTTCTTACAGTTAACCTCTAAAAAACTAATGATAACAACAAAATAATAACAAAAAATACAACACAGTTTGTAACAAAACAAGTTATAAAATATCATAATTTATTTAATCTTCACTAACATACATTCACACACACACACGTACACCCTCTTTTGCATCTAGGCCTATCGCACGCCATCCCGCCAAGCCACGGCCATCCGCTCAAGGTAATATCCTTTCAGCGTCACCATCAGTCGGGATCGGTTTTCTATGGATTTAATGTGAAAAGGTATGGAGTTCCATAGGCAGCATGCTGTTACTAAAAATGATTTGTTATAAACAGTTGTTCTGTGATGAGGAATGCGAAGCGTCCAGAGCGGGTATCCCTTGCGCCTCTTTCATTCAAAAATTTAAAATTCTTTGCAAGATAATTTGGAATTCCAAGATTGATGGCCGAATGAGTAATGAAAAGTATTCGTATTTTTCTGATGTCTTTTAATTTCAAAATTGATTCATTAATGTAATAGGGTGTGACATGGTCATCACGCCTAAGATTGAACAAGAATCGAACACAATAATTTTGTACACGTTGTAATTTTGTTGCCAAAGCCACAGTCATATCATTAACCACGGTGTTGCAGTAGTTGAAGTGTGGAAACACAAGTGATTTGACCAGTAAGAGTTTAATGTGAAAAGGTAGAAGTCGTTGCATCTTCTTCAGTGTGTGAACAGAGGCAAACACTCTTTTACAAGTGCTTACCACTGCGTCAGTCCAGTCCAATGTCCGGTTTAAAATCAAACCAAGACTTTTTACTTTGTCCTGGTATTGCAAAGTGGTTCCATTTACAGTGATGTTTGGTAAAATGTTTAAGTCCACTTTGTTGAGTAACCGTGAGTGACCTATGATGATTGGCTTTGTCTTGTCAGGATTGAGTCTAAGTCCATTCCTTTCTGCCCATTGAACAATTCTGTCGATGTCGTGGTTCATCAAGTGTATAGTTTCACTTGCATCGCTCACTTTAAAATGAGAATAGATTTGCAAGTCGTCAGCGTACAAATGAAACTTCACATGATGTAGAACTGTACTGATGTCATTGATGTAAATGGTGAAAAGCAGAGGACCAAGAATTGAACCCTAGGGAACTCCGCAGGGAACATGTCTCCAGTCGGACGTCAAGTTCTCATGAAACACACACTGCTTTCGGCTCTGAAGAAATGATCTCATCCATTTTAGTGAATTATCAGAAAAACCTAAAAGTTGGAGTTTAGCTAGAAGAATGCTATGGTTTACGGTATCGAAGGCTTTACTGAAGTCAAATAATGTTAAGATAGTACATTGGCTGCGATCCATAGCATATCGTATGTCATCAGTTACATGAAGCATTGCTGTTTCAGTGCTGTATGATTTACGAAAACCTGGTTGAAAGCTATTGAGGATGTTATTTTGTGCCAAGAAATCAGAAACTTGAGAGTGAATGACTCTTTCTAGTGCTTTAGAAAGGGCGGGAAGAATGCTAATTGGTCTGTAGTCTTGTGGGAGAGAGGGGGATGAGATTTTATTCAAGGGACGGACAAGCGCAGACTTCCACTTTTCTGGAAAAATACCTGATCTTAGTGAAGTATCTATATCTATAAAAGAGGAACTATGTATGTATGTATGTGTGTGTGTGTGTGTGTGTGTGTGTGTGTATACGTTATGGACTCCGAAACCGCTCGACAGATTGTAATGAAACTTTCAGGCATTATTAAGCATCTTTCAAGGATGGTTCGAGTGAAGTTTGGTGCAGATCCGTTAAAAGGGCTCTGCCCCAGAGGGTTTTAAGTGGGCCAATGTCAGACTTTTTTATCTACAATGTTTACAAATAAATATAATTTAAAAGCAGATGTTTACTTTCACCAACTGTTTTGTAGGTTTGAATAATCACAACATTCTGTATTAGCATTAGTCGTGATTTGAAATAGTGCCACAGTGTTTCTACAGATTGCAGCACAGAAAACTATTTTACTTCTGAATAAGTCCAAATGTATTAAACCCCAATCGCAGCACACCTGTGCACTTAACAACGTTTAAATTCTCCAATGTTAAATATTAAAACATATAAACCGTTATCAAAGTACTGTATGATAAACAATAAAAGGGATGACTTTTTTTTAATTTATGACAACAGCTAATTTGCAACCAAAAGGTGAGTGAGCGTAGCGAACGAACATCAACCTGGAGGCGATTAAGCGTAGCGAACGAGCTAACCTGAAAACAAGTGAGCGCAGCGAACGATTTCCAACCTGAAGGTGAGTGAGCGTAGCGATCAAACTTCAACCAGGACGTGATTGAGCCATGCAAATACTTATGAAGTTAAGCGGGGCAAAGCCCGCGGGTACAGCTAGTTAAATATGAAAGTTAATGTTGGAAGGAGAGCAAACAAGATTCGTTTAATTAAAGAAATTGGGATTCTGTCAGAACCAGTGGCGTCAGACGTTAACCGCCTTATAGCCTTCAAAACATCAATTTGCAATATTGGCTTGAAGTTAAATTTAGTGATGGAATTTGGCAAGGGACGTAATTTTAACTCAGTTAAATGGTTCTGAATTATTGAACCGTTTGCCTGTGATGATACTGATAAAAAATAATTATTTAAATCGTTCAAGGGAATTGATATGGGAACAACTTTAACTTGCTTTCCAAATCCAAAACGTTTTAGATTACGCCAGCAAACGGCAGAGGATTGCTTTCCTTCGGAAAACAATCTATGAAAATATTGGAGTCGAGCATTACGTTAATGTTGTTTTACTTGATTTCTAAGCTGGCGGTAGTGAGCCATGAGCCCCTGATCCCTAGTTCTTTTGGCTCTGCGATGGACTGAGTCCCGCCGAGCCATTAAGCCAATGATCTCCTCACTAATCCAAGGAACGGATCGACTTTTACTAACCCTACGGTTGACAATTGGAGCGTGCTTGTCATATAATTTTAAAATGGTTTCATTAAGTGAATCGACCATATCATCAACTGACTCCAGGGTATGTATGGAGTGCCAAGGCGTTAAATTTACATAAGACAAAAAATTTGCTTCATTAAAATTTCTAAAATTTCTGTAAGAGATAAGCTTTTGTTTGGGCTTAATATTGAACTGTCTAAAGTGGTTAGGCCTCCTTATAGATGGCTTGGATCATTAACAGTTAGGGGCCTACACCATTTTCAAACTGTGTGTGACTTAGTAACTACCTAGCCTAGTTAATCTAGTTAACTTGGTACTGTACCGGTTAACTAACAATTAAGTAACTTAGGACAAAAGAAAATGTAGATTACAATTTATTTTACTGATGAATATTGTCTTTTATTTCGTGTTTTTACACCCTTTACTCGACAGTAGGTTAATTTATACCATCATGCCGTGAAATGTTGATTTATTTGTTTAACAAACAAACCATTTAAACGATACAAACAAATACTCTATAGACTGCTGGATTAATTGAATTAACTATGGTAATCCTAGTAATACATGAGATAACAAGTTGTATTATCAGGATACAAGTAGGCCTAAACAAGTTTCATGAGAAAAACATGATTGTGGAAAATTTAAGCGTCAACGTTCAATCACACGTTACTTAATGAAGAATACCTTTGGTAGAAGAGTAAGAAGATTATGCTCATTGATCATTCCGTTCAATCCACTGCTGAAAAGGCGACCGTTGTACCAGACTAAACTCTCAACAGAATGGTCGGTACTCAGCAACACTCGGTCTATGTGAGGGGTGTGGCTCAAGTCCCATATCTCTATGGTATTGTTTGACCTGAAAATATTGAATCCAATTTAGACAATCAGCTATTTCAAACGGACCAAATTTTAGTTGGTAAGAGCTGGGCTAGTGGTAGAGCGCAGGACTTCGCTCCCTGAGGTCCCAGGTTCAAATCCCACCAGATCTCCAATGGATTTGATATTATAGGTCTCGCCACCCTAAGTTGAGGCAGCCCAGACGGATGGGCAGGGTCATTATCGGCCGGTCCCGCCCGACCCTTTATAATCCGATTAGTGACACTTCCATGAACGCTCTAGTTCCATAATTGTCATTAACAAAGTTAAAAACCGATGTATAAATTTAGTCTTTTACATTAATAACGTCGATTTAACAAACATTTCCGTTTTTGTCCCATCGAAATCGGACAATGTTTACGGTTTTTGGATTTTGGGATCTACACTACTTTGTTTTTTGTTTATAGCTCACAAACCGTAAACATTGTCCGATTTTGATGGGATGAAAACGGAAATGTTTGTTAAATTGACGTTATTAATGTAAAAGACTAAATTTATACATCGGTTTTTAACTTTGTTAATGACAATTATGGAACTAGAGCGTTCACGGAAGTGTCACTAATCGGATTATAAAGGGTCGGGCGGGACCGGCCGATAATGACCCTGTCCGTCCGTCTGGGCTGCCTCAACTTAGGGCGGCGAGACCTATAGTAAGTGGTAATAGCCCTATGTCTAGCCTGAAGTAAATGTGAAAAACAATTCGCGTAGTATACTAGGACAAGAAAAAATAAAAAGAAGGAAGAAAAGTTGGTGAAACATTTTTATTCAGTATTTTATAATTGAAAAAGGTAGGAAGCTACAATAAACTACAGCCAAGTTGACAGCTTTATATTTCAGCGAGACTCAACGGACAGTCCAGGTTTTAAGTTTGTGTTAAGGAAAAAGGTCAAAGGTTGACTGAATAAGAAAAATACCCCCGCCGCAGCAAACCTGCAGACTAAGCGAATTTCCATTCTCAGCCTGATTGGATTTACAGTAAAATGTCTGCTTAGAAAAATCACATTTTATTCCCTATTTAAATAGAATTAGTTCAATTAGAACCGTACTTAGGTTTGCTGCAACAGGGAGGGTAAACAAGTTTTTTTTTTTTTTAATAGTAATAGTTTAGTAAGAAATTATGTGTTTTTCAAATTTGATCAAAATATGTTCATAAACAAGCAGACTACACAACAGTTTACTTATTATAAGAATAACATGGGAATTTTAAATTTTTTTTAACTTTCTCTTTTACCATTAGGTAAAAATAACCTTTCCATATTTTAAATTATTTGTTTTTTAAGCTCTACAAAATTGTTTGGAAAGAAATTGCTAAATTTTAAGTTTTTTGGATCCATTTTTTGACCCATTTTTACCCCATAAGCTCCCGTTCCAATAGTCCCATCATACTGGTTCACGAACTCCTTCAAATAAATGTAGGATCACACGTGTACCTATAGCAAATTTCATCAAAATCGGATCATTTTTAACGAGTTATCGTGCTAACGGACATATACAGGGTGTTTAAAAAAAGGTGGGGACATAAGTTACGTAGGGATTTCTTGGATCAAAGTAAAGAGAAAATCAAGAATAACATTTTTTCCAAAATCGCTTCATTAACCATATATCTGCCATTTTGTATTTTTTACATTACTTAATTTGTATCTTTGATAATGATTTGTAGCCTATCGTAATTTTTCAACTGATATTTATGAAACTTGGTAGATATGTTAAGGTAGAAGAGACCCATGTTAGGAAAAAATATCATCTTTCGGGTACAGTTTCTTAACTGGGCTAAGTTTGTGACGGCCCCATTACAGATCAGCTGGGGAGGTTTATGCTACACCCTCAAGAAACCCTGTCAATACCGTCACAAAAACTTTGCTTTATTTCAAATATAAAAGGAGGGTCTGTAATATTTGACTGTATTAACCTCCCAACTTTTGCGTCAGCCAGATTCCTCATCATGGAATATTCCGTTAGCCAAGGCTCAGTACTAGGCCAGACCAACGTTCCCAGAAGTGTAGCGCACGTGGCTGGAATTTGAAGAGCTCAGTTCAGCGAATCGCTCGATGAAATCAGTAACCCCGCAACTGCAGTTTGCCTAACGCCCCGATTGATCGTTAGGCAGCAGCACTATGCAGTGTTGCACCGACGTCACGCGGCATAGCCGCAACGTTGATTGGATGTTGCCCCTCCACGGCCAACTTGACGATGGACGGAGGACACTCAGTTGAGTTAGTCTGAATTCAATTCTGTCGGTCATCTAAATTTCCGCGTCCGCGTCGCCTTTCCCCATAGCCTCCTCGGAAGGCTATGTTTCCCATTCTTCTAAATGCAACTAATCATGAAAATATCTTAACATTGTAGATCCAAACAACTTAGGCCTATTTCAGAATTGTATTCTCTCTTTCTTGCCAACTAGTTAGTATTTGTGATTATAAGTTATTTGTGTTTGTATTTAAACTAAACGTAAATTAATTATAAGTAGGCCTACACCAAGTCGGAAGCTACAATTTGTTCTTGTTACAATTTCAATAAATTACTGTTCGTAGCGAATTCTCGGCTGCACTTTATTTAGGTCCTACACTCATTCGAATGAAAATATCGATTAGGCCTATTCGATTGTTTCGTTCGATATATCGTTTGGTTAGTTAGGTTAGGGTAACCTTATCTAACTAACCAAACGATATATCGAATGAAACAATCGATTAATCGATATATCCATCGATATTTTCAACCGAATGAGTGTAGGACCTAAAGTAAAGTGCAGCCGAATTGTCTTTGTTTCATTCGGCTCCCTGTCACAAGTTTATGCTAATGTCAATTGAAACTATCAAATTGAATATATTGATTAATAGGTAGGCCTAATCGATATTTTTAACCCTATCAATTATAAAATGAAACTGTCATAAACTAACCAACTAACCAAACTTGCTGATAATGAAAAAACGAATGAAGGTTTACTAATCAGATCGACAGTTTCAATCGGTATAAGCATAGCCCAGTTAAGAAACTGTAACTTACGCACTTGTGTGAACCTGGCAATAACTTGGCAATAACTAGTGCGCGCGCCCGATAAAATCTATTGCTGGCCGTATTGCGGAGAAATACGTCCGCGAGCAATATTACCGATGATGCCAACAGATAGAGGACACTTTAACGGACACGACAGTATCAATATCATGTACCTGGGGGATAAGTTAGGGGGGGTAAAACCAGTAATAAGTAGTGCGCGCGCTGGATAAAATCTATTGCTAGCCGTATTGCGGAGAAATACGTCCGCGAGCAATATTACCGATGATGCCAACCGATAGAGGACACTTTAACGGACACGACAGTATCAATATCATGTACCTGGAGGATAAAATAAGGGGGGTACAACCAGCAATAAGTAGTGCGCGCGCCCGAAAAAATCTATTGCTGGCCGTATTGCGGAGAAATACGTCCGCGAGCAATATTACCGATGATGCCAACAGATAGAGGACACTTTAACGGACACGACAGTATCAACATCATGTACCTGGGGGATTAGTTAAGGGGGATATAACCAGCAAAAAGTAGAGAGCGCACACGATAAAATCTATTGCCGGCCGTATTGCGGAAAAATACGTCCGCGAGCAATATTACCGATGATGCCAACAGATAGAGGACACTTTAACGGACACGACAGTATCAACATCATGTAGCCTACCTGGAGGATAAAATAAGGGGGGTACAACCAGCAATAAGTAGTGCGCGCGCCCGATAAAATCTATTGCCGTCCGTATTGCGGAAAAATACGTCCGCGAGCAATATTACCGATGATGCCAACAGATAGAGGACACTTTAATGGACACGACAGTATCAACATACATCAAAACATACAATCAAGCATGCGAGATTATTGGAGGCAATCTGAAATAACACAATATTTAAGCCTATGATACAATCTTATCTTAGGCTAGCCTACTTACCGTGAAAGTGCTAATCTTTTGGTATCTTTTTCATAACTGATACAGTGAATAGCATTTGCATCTGGATTGTAAAACCTCACGCTGTGAATACGATGGTAAGACATATTTTAAATGTTTGTTGTTATAAAATTTATTAATTAATAATAACATAACCTGTAAATAAAAAGGTAAACAATCCACCACATGGACCCTCTTTGGACCGATGACCGATTGGCGATCATCGGGCGAGACCACGGCCTACACACTTGAGGTATATTGAGGTGGCATTGAGTGCTTTGAATAGTGCAAGAACTGGACCCGCAAGGTGACTTATCGTTGTGCTGTAGCACGGCCGCCTTTAACTCCAGGCCGCGGCCTTCGAACTGGCAACGTCGCAGGTGGTGTTGTAACAGCTAATTTTTTTGGAAGCAACTAATGGTATTTGTGTATTTACGAATGATTGATTACTGGACCATGACAATATTGACTCCGCTTAAAAATGTACAGATATAGATTTTAATTCATATTGATTCAATTTTCAATTAATTCTGTATGTTTTATTTTCAATATCTTAATACATTTATGTTCATAAATTAAAAATTAACTCAATAAAGTGCGAATTAATTAATGAACTGATGTCACCTGTCTGCCATGTTATCTTATGGGACGTGACGTCTATCACTGAACAACACCTTGAAAGGAAACACCGATGACTTAATCACTCCATTGGACGCAGCACTAAGAATGTGGCCCTTTAAAGGCACCACCGATGACTCGAACACTCCACTGGACGCTGCACTGAGAGTGTGGCCCTTTAAAGCAACCACCGATAACTCGAACACTCCACTGGATGCTGCCCTGGGAGTGTGGCCCTTTAGAGGCACCAACGTTGACTCGATTACTCCACTGGACGCTGCATTTGAGAGTGTGGCCCTTAAAAGGAAACACCGATGACTTGATTACTCCATTGGACGAGGCACTCAGAATGTGGCCCTTTAAAGGCACCACCAAACACCCGAAAACTCCACTGGACGCAGCACTAAGAATGTGGTCCTTTATAGGCACCACAAAAAATCGATCACTCTCCGGACGCGGCACTAAGAGTGTGGCCCTTTAAAGGCACCACCAAAGACTCGATCACTCCACTGGACGCGGCACAGAGAGTGTGGCCCTTTAAAGGCACCACCAAAGACCCGATCACTCCACTTGACGCGGCACAGAGAGTGTGGCCCTTTAAAGGCACCACCAAAGACCCGATCACTCTCTGGATGCGGCACTAAGAGTGTGGCCCTTTAAAGGCACCACCAAAGACCCGATCACTCCACTGGACGCAGCACTAAGATTGTGGCCCTTTAAAGGCACCACCAAAAACTCGATCACTCCCTGGACGCGGCACTAAGAGTGTGGCCCTTTAAAAAGGCACCACCAAAGACCCGATCACTCCAATGGACGCAGCACTAAGAATGTGGCCCTTTAAAGGCACCACCAAAAACTCGATCACTCTCTGGACGCGGCACTAAGAGTGTGGCCCTTTAAAGGCACCACCAAAGACTCGATCACTCCACTGGACGTTGCACTGAAAGTGTGGCCCTTTAGAGGCACCACCAAAAACTCGATCACTCCACCAGACGCAGCACTGAGGGTGTGGCCCTTTAGAGGCACAACCGATGACTCGATCACTCCATTGGACGTGGCACTGAGAGTGTGGCCCTTAAGAGGCATCACCGATGACTCGAAAACTCCACTGGATGCTGCCCTGAGAGTGTGGCACTTTAGAGCAACCACCGATGACTCGAACACTCCACTGGATGCTGCCCTGAGAGTGTGGCACTTTAGAGGCACCATCGTTGACTCGATTACTCCACTGGACGCTGCATTTGAGAGTGTGGCCCTTGAAAGGAAACACTGATGACTTGATTACTCCATTGGACGCGACCCTCAGAATGTGGCCCTTTAATGGCACCACCAAAGACTCGATCACTTCACTGGACGCAGCACTAAGAATGTGGCCCTTTAAAGGCACCACCAAAAACTCGACCACTCTTTGGACGCGGCACTAAGAGTGTGGCCCTTTAAAGGCACCACCAAAGACCCGATCACTCCACTTGACGTGGCACAGAGAGTGTGGCCCTTTAAAGGCACCACCAAAGACCCGATCACTCCACTGGACGCAGCACTATGAATGTGGCCCTTTAAAGGCACCACCAAACACCCGATCACTCCACTGGACGCAGCACTAAGAATGTGGCCCTTTAAAGGCACCACCAAAGACCCGATCACTCCATTGGACGCGGCACAGAGAGTGTGGCCCTTTAAAGGCACCACCAAAGACCCGATCACTCCACTGGACGCAGCACTATGAATGTGGCCCTTTAAAGGCACCACCAAAGACTCGATCACTCCACTGGACGCGGCACAGAGAGTGTGGCCCTTTAAAGGCACCACCAAAGACCCGATCACTCCATTGCACGCAGCACTATGAATGTGGCCCTTTAAAGGCACCACCAAAAACTCGATCACTCTCTGGACGCGGCACTAAGAGTGTGGCCCTTTAAAGGCACCACCAAAGACTCGATCACTCCACTGGACGCGGCACAGAGAGTGTGGCCCTTTAAAGGCACCACCAAACACCCGATCACTCCACTGGACGCGGCACTAAGAGTGTGGCTCTTTAAAGGCACCACCAAAGACCCGATCACTCCACTTGACGCGGCACAGAGAATGTGGCCCTTTAAAGGCACCACCAAAGACCCGATCACTCCATTGGACGCGGCACAGAGAGTGTGGCCCTTTAAAGGCACCACCAAAGACCCGATCACTCCATTGCACGCAGCACTATGAATGTGGCCCTTTAAAGGCACCACCAAAAACTCGATCACTCTCTGGACGCGGCACTAAGAGTGTGGCCCTTTAAAGGCACCACCAAAGACCCGATCACTCCACTGGACGCAGCACTAAGAATGTGGCCCTTTAAAGGCACCACCAAAAACTCGATCACTCCCTGGACGCGGCACTAAGAGTGTGGCCCTTTAAAGGCACCACCAAAGACCCGATCACTCCACTGGACGCAGCACTAAGAATGTGGCCCTTTAAAGGCACCACCAAAAACTCGATCACTCTCTGGTCGCGGCATTAAGAGTGTGGCCCTTTAAAGGCACCACCAAAGACTCGATCACTCCACTGGACGTTGCACTGAAAGTGTGGCCCTTTAGAGGCACCACCAAAAACTCGATCACTCCACCAGACGCAGCACTGAGGGTGTGGCCCTTTAGAGGCACAACCGATGACTCGATCACTCCATTGGACGTGGCACTGAGAGTGTGGCCTTTAAGAGGCATCACCGATGACTCGAACACTCCACTGGATGCTGCCCTGAGAGTGTGGCACTTTAGAGCAACCACCGATGACTCGAACACTCCACTGGATGGCACCCTGAGAGTGTGGCACTTTAGAGCAACCACCGATGACTCGAACACTCCACTGGATGCTGCCCTGAGAGTGTGGCACTTTAGAGGCACCATCGTTGACTCGATTACTCCACTGGACGCTGCATTTGAGACTGTGGCCCTTTAAAGGCACCACCAAAAACTCGATCACTCTCTGGACGCGGCACTAAGAGTGTGGCCCTTTAAAGGCACCACCAAAGACTCGATCACTCCACTGGACGCGGCACAGAGAGTGTGGCCCTTTAAAGGCACCACCAAAAACCCGATCACTCCACTGGACGCGGCACTAAGAGTGTGGCCCTTTAAAGGCACCACCAAAGACCCGATCACTCCACTTGACGCGGCACAGAGAATGTGGCCCTTTAAAGGCACCACCAAAGACCCGATCACTCCACTGGACGCAGCACTAAGAATGTGGCCCTTTAAAGGCACCACCAAAAACTCGATCACTCTCTGGTCGCGGCACTAAGAGTGTGGCCCTTTAAAGGCACCACCAAAGACTCGATCACTCCACTGGACGTTGCACTGAAAGTGTGGCCCTTTAGAGGCACCACCAAAAACTCGATCACTCCACCAGACGCAGCACTGACGGTGTGGCCCTTTAGATTCACAACCGATGACTCGATCACTCCATTGGACGTGGCACTGAGAGTGTGGCCCTTAAGAGGCATCACCGATGACTCGAACACTCCACTGGATGCTGCCCTGAGAGTGTGGCACTTTAGAGCAACCACCGATGACTCGAACACTCCACTGGATGCTGCCCTGAGAGTGTGGCACTTTAGAGCAACCACCGATGACTCGAACACTCCACTGGATGCTGCCCTGAGAGTGTGGCACTTTGGAGGCACCACCGTTGACTCGATTACTCCACTGGACGCTGCATTTGAGACTGTGGCCCTTGAAAGGAAACACCGATGACTTGATTACTCCATTGGACGTGGCACTCAGAATGTGGCCCTTTAAAGGCACCACCAAAGACCCGATCACTCCACTGGACGCAGCACTATGAATGTGGCCCTTTAAAGGCACCACCAAAGACTCGATCACTCCACTGGACGCGGCACAGAGAGTGTGGCCCTTTAAAGGCACCACCAAAGACCCGATCACTCCATTGCACGCAGCACTATGAATGTGGCCCTTTAAAGGCACCACCAAAAACTCGATCACTCTCTGGACGCGGCACTAAGAGTGTGGCCCTTTAAAGGCACCACCAAAGACCCAATCACTCCACTGGACGCAGCACTAAGAATGTGGCCCTTTAAAGGCACCACCAAAAACTCGATCACTCCCTGGACGCGGCACTAAGAGTGTGGCCCTTTAAAGGCACCACTAAAGACCCGATCACTCCACTGGACGCAGCACTAAGAATATGGCCCTTTAAAGGCACCACCAAAAACTCGATCACTCTCTGGTCGCGGCATTAAGAGTGTGGCCCTTTAAAGGCACCACCAAAGACTCGATCACTCCACTGGACGTTGCACTGAAAGTGTGGCCCTTTAGAGGCACCACCAAAAACTCGATCACTCCACCAGACGCAGCACTGACGGTGTGGCCCTTTAGAGGCACAACCGATGACTCGATCACTCAATTGGACGTGGCACTGAGAGTGTGGCCCTTAAGAGGCATCACCGATGACTCGAACACTCCACTGGATGCTGCCCTGAGAGTGTGGCACTTTAGAGCAACCACCGATGACTCGAACACTCCACTGGATGCTGCCCTGAGAGTGTTGCACTTTAGAGCAACCACCGATGACTCGAACACTCCACTGGATGCTGCCCTGAGAGTG